GGCATGCCTCAAGCATTCCCACCTGGCACTGAGTCCGTTGGATGAGGCTAGAGGCTTTCCACTGGGAATATCTAGAGACTAATGTGTATATGTATATATATATATATAAGTACGGTATATATGATGTATTATATTGCATGTTATATACATATACATATACATATACATATACATATACATATACATATACATGTCCTTTACAGGCATAGATACATATACATCAGGCTTACGTGGGCCTTTCCAATGAAATGAGCCATAGATGTAATTTCCGTGGGGCCCCTTTGCATCACAGGCCAAGGGCTCGCCCAGGTTGGGCATCCCCTTCGGCCGATGCCAAAGATCTGATATGGGATTGTCTGAACATAGGGTCCATATATAGATATATAGATATATAGATATATAGATATATATATATATATATATGTATAATTATATATAATTATACATATACATAACGTCATAATTATATTGTATTATATTATATTATATTATATTGTATTATATTATATTATATTGTATTATATTATATTATATTATATTGTATTATATTATATTATATTGTATTATATTATATTATATTGTATTATATTATATTATATTGTATTATATTGTATTGTATTATATTATATTATATTGTATTATATTATATTATATTATATTGTATTATATTACATTATATTGTATTATATTGTATTGTATTGTATTATATTATATTGTATTATATTATATTATATTATATTGTATTATGTTTTATTATATTATATTATAGTATATTGTATTATATTATATTATATTGTCTTATATTATATTATATTGTATTATATTATGTTATATTATATTATATTGTATTATATTATATTATATTATATTGTATTATATTATATTGTATTATATTATATTATATTATGTTATATTATATTATATTGTATTATATTATATTATATAGCATATATATATATGTATGTATGTATGTATGTATGTATGTATGTATGTATGTATGTATATACATGATATACATATGTATACATATATATGTATATATATACATATATATATATATATATTATACATATACATAATATCATAATTGTGTACATATATATATATACCCATGAAATATCACAAAATTGCCCATTGAATGGTGACATTCGTCAACCATTGGCTTTGGGCAGCCGACAAAGCCATCCCCAAACTCAGCCAGGCCGACGTCCGGTTGGACTCCTGTTGTCGATGGACTCATCCAAGAGATGTGGGCCCCGGTTTCCCCTTGATCACTAAGGGATCCTTACCAAACTCTGGACAAACTCTGCACATTTCATGGGTTTAATATGGTTTATATAATATGTTTCAATGCCCATGAAATCGAAATCAGTAGAATTTTCCATGGAATCATGTGTGATCATTCTAATGTAACGCGTAAAGTGCCGTTTTTTTCGACAGAAAAACACAGACACCGAAATGACAGCGGATGTAGTCCACATCTCTGGATGGTCCAGGTCGAATTTTGACCCTGCTTCGAAAGCCAATCGTGGGGGTTTTACCATGATTTACCCTCTGGTAAACTAACATAGCTATGGAAAATCACCATTTTAATGGGCAAATCCACTATAAATTGCCATTTTCAATAGCTATGTTAAATTACCAGAGGGTAAATTGATTTAATACCTCATGCAATTGTCCGTTTTTTGCCATGGTCATGGTTTCTACGAGTTGTATCGGGTTATCCCTTCGCCATGTCACAGCCCTCTCTGGGTGTCAAGTTCCGATGTTTTCTGGCTTAATTGAACTTCCATCCCCACTTCAATGTTGGCGAAAACCGCTATGAGTGGAATCCCACTTTTTGGTCAAACATCTCCATCTTTTGGCTACTCTTTGGTGACTATTCTTCATGGTTGAAATTTGAATTGCCATGTTTTGAATGAAATACCCATAGCTTTCCAGCCCCAACCCGCCCTGGCGGCTCCTTTTCATCCATAGGGTCACCGGACCTGAATTGCCGCATGCCTTGGCTGTTGCGGCGAAGCCGCAGGATGTGACCATTGATGGGGAATCTATGGGAATTTATGGGAATCTATTTGGAAGATGATGGAAGATGATGGAAGATGATGGAAGATGATGATTTTTTGAGCGAATGGAAAATTTTCAAAGAGGAAGAGATGGGAATGCCTAGCCAATTTCTGGATTCTGCAAGCAAAGAATAGCGACATGAGCAACCAAAACTGTGGATCAAGACTAGTGAACCGTTCAGCTGTGCACATTGGTCATTTTTGTTGTGCCAACCTTCCCAATTTCGGGGTGCCCAAATTTAATCCTGCCCATTTGGTCCAGAAAGTGATTTGAAGAGCCATGGTCTGCTTAAGATTGTAGAAATGACCACTTCGACTCATTCCAAAAATCAACAGAAAGAAGGCGGAAAAGTGCGCCGGGACATACCAAGAAAAACGACAAGTGGATCAACTACTTGAGGGACCCATTCACAAATCCACAGATTCATCAAGGTGACTTCACCCAATGTCTTGATTTAAGGAACACTTGAAAGGAAACTATCGCTTCTCCAGTTTCTACCAGTTTCTACTATAATATCTATACGTAATTGTAGGTGTTGGTCATTGGGGTACCTATGGACCCGCAAATTTGGACACTAACCATCCCAGTTTATGGGGGGTCGAAGTTCCCCAGACGCTTCACCACCATCTGTGTGTGTAGTCACCATCCTTGTGCCAAGAGGCTGTAAACTTAAAGCATGTTATTCTCAAATAAATGTGCTAAGGTCTTATATTTAATAGGAATAACTATGGTAACAACTAATGATAGTAATAACTCTGGGATAGTACTAACTATATCTAACTATTATTAGTTATATAAGATTTATTGATGGGTTTACATTTGACCCAGATGGAAGAACCTTGGGCCCCACTTATTGGGGCAGTGCTCACCAAACTTCCAATGCCCAGAGGCCATTTCCAGGCTTCTTCTGAATGTTCATGATCTGTGACGGCATAGGAAAACCATAGGAAAATCATAGGAAAACCATAGAAAAACCATAGGAAAACCATAGGAAATGCAAATGGGGCATCACTACTCGCAGTGAGCAAGAACTGAATAGTCAGATGAAATTCACGTCAACACTAGCAAACTGGCACTTGCTGCAGGCAACAATCAACATAAGCCAGTGTTTCTCAAAATTTGGGTAGCCCAAAACCAGTTCTTTTCCTGTTTAAAGTGACTTCAATAATTTGGATGATAACTTGGGTCCCCCATGACTGAAGAAAACCCCGGCCTTTATCATGGCACCCACACAAACTGACTGTGCACCAGTGGCCAAACTGAAAAGGAAAGCTGCTTCGTGGTTCTAATTTGGATCATGGTTCACGACACAAATGTTTTGCTGGAAAGTTGTCATCATCAAATACCTTGTAACGCATACAGTGCAAATACATCTGTGAATAGTAGTATAGTACATGTCTTTGCGTATATGCTGCTCACTGCCTACTGTGTTCTGCATATGATGGTAGTAATCGTAACTAATCAAAATAGCGGTGATGATGATCCCAATAATAATAATGATAATCATCATAATGATAATCATCAATCATGTACATATATATACATACATACATACATACATACATACATACATACATACATACATACATACACATATATACACATATATACATATACATGTACATGTACGTGTACATATACATAGACATAGACATAGACATAGACATACATATACATAGACATATATACATATACGTATACGTATGCATATACCTATACATATACATATACATTTACAATTACAATTGCAATTACATATGCATTTGCATGTGCATATGCATGTACATATACATAGGCATAGACAAAAACATCTACTGATACATATTTGTGCGTAGACATTGGCGTAGCCGTATAGACTTAGACATGTAACATGTACAGCACATATATTTCAGTATGTATACTATGCAAATGGTGTTCCTGTTTTTCCTTGCCTGTTTTCATATATTTGTGGAAGCTCTACCACTCTCCCACGGCCCAGCAAGTCTGGAAGCGCCTGCAAATGGACTATCTCCGTGACTATCTCCGGCAAACGCGCAGCCGAATTCAGATACAAAAGATTCTGGCCGAGCGAAACTTGCCAGTGCTGAGTTCGGTCGTTTGAGTGCTGAGTGGTATTTCAACAGCCCAAATCGCAAAGATCTTGGCAAATATGTTTTGAAACATGCCTTTCGAGAAGTTAGAGAATATTGTGTATTGGAAAGTGCTGAGAAATTGGGCACTAAGCCACTGCTGACTGCAGCATGACTCTAATCTTTCAGTGTCCAAAGGAGAAAATCGAAACAAATCCCATCATGAGGAGCGCTTTGAGAACCGCTGGATGTCAAGTGTTCGAATGAATCATTTTTGAGCCGAAAGGCTAAGGACTCAGGACGTGATTACTCAGTTTGGCAAGCCTTTGCAAAGAGGTATCACGTCTAGAGTTCTAGAGGAATCGGAGGTCAAAAAGTGCAAGTGACATGAAAAGAATGCTGCTACCTCCCACCCTTACATGTCTTGGGTTCAAACTTGGGTACCCAAAAAACTGCCGTGGGATACTATGGAAAATGACAATTCCTTCTCTCGTGGTTTCAACCTATCGATCATCCTCCCAAGTAGGGGTCAAATTTTACAAACAGGTGTTCACTCTCGTGATCGAACATATGTGTGAATGTGTGTGTGTGTGCATGTACTGATAAAGCACATGAACATAATTAGGATTATCATTTTATTACTATCGTTATTATATACTACAGTAGTATGATTGCTATCATTCTTGCTAGTATTATCATCGTTGTCATCATCATAGCTACTATTTTTTGTAGTAATTAATATCATTGTATTGAGTTTAACTCTCTTGTCATCATTTCCATTCCGATGATCAAAAGCTGCTGTGCATTGGGGCTTTGCAAACTCACTTCCACCCACACTGGTCGCTTCAGGGCCAGCAGCAACCATTTTGGACTGCACCAGCATCTGTCAGCGCGGTGTGCAACCCAGAGATGCGCGTCATGCGAGGTAGTTGTAGACCCTCCTGACGGGAAGAGAATTCTATGTCATAGTTTCCATGGTGCCTCCAATACAGCTCCCAAGGGAAATCCTGGAAATGGGGAGCTTAATGACCTTAATTATGGAAGTTGGGATCCATTCAGGGTCCTCAAAAATGCCATGGACAGTGTATTCACCCTCAAAGAACTCCTCCGCAAAAGCCCCGAACCACAGGGGACAAAACCCTTGTACCCTGCTGATCAGACTGGCATCCCCAAAATGGGCATGTCAGCACAGCATGACAAAAGTCATCAGCCCAACTGAGGGCCCAACTGAAGGATGCATTTTTTTACTGCAATTGACTCCATACTTTTTCATTCTTTCACACAAACATGAACCACAAAGATGTTGATCATGTTGCTTTCCCTGCTGAAATGACGGATACGGACACTGTGCAAACCACTTTCTGCCAAACGGCCGCCATGTCTGCGGCAACTACCGCTGAATCCCAAATATGATCCAAAATCCCAAATATCCAAAATATATCCCAATATCCCAATATCAGAATCTCAATTTGTTCAAATATCCCAATATCATCCAATATCCCAATCGTGAATTTCCCTCAAATATCATCCAATTCTGGCAAAGTATTAGAAAAAAACAAGCTGTGGGACATCAAGGCCTGTCAGCATTTGATCTCTCCAGGTACCTCAAGCGCAGCGCTTTTCCTAGTGTTTGGCAAAGGCCAGGCAACCCTGATATCAAATACCCTCCTTGAAGAGCATGGAACTTGGGAACTTGAGAATTTGGATCCAAGCAGCCATTCTGTTGCGGAGTCCGCATCTAAATGATTGGCAAGATTAAAGAACGGGAGGAACATTGAATCCACAGAGCTTTGACCATTGAAGCGTCACAGCAGCAACGATGAAAAACTCGGCGTAGAGATCTTGCAGACCAATGAGGCAACTCCCTTCTAGGCCCTGACCATCAGTAAGATACTATGTATGTATATATATATATGTATATACTAGGTGTCTGTGTGTGTAGCTTCATATTCTGACCTTGTCCAAGAATAGAGTACCCCTCAAAATCCATAATATCATATCATTATATCATGATATATCATATATCATATATATATATATATGTATGTATCCATTTCAAATATGTGCAAACCATTTCAACACATAAAAGTCATCCCCACTGAACGTGACCGAGGTGCTCTCGTTCGATGAGTTTCTCGATCCGTTGCTTGATCAGCGTGGGCGCGGGTTGGAACCGAGACGTCAAATGTCGGGTCACCTGTCGAGGCAGAAAACTCCAAGAACTGGGTTTTCGATGGTTTATGGTAAATATTATTTGCATACATATATATATATATACATGTAGATATGTGTAAAAATGTCCAAGTAGTCAATGAAGGTTGTAAATTGTTCACATTCCTAAACCAATACCGGTCCCGGCAAAGCTGGCAGGTAGGTGCTCGGTTGCCTTGGTGAGTTTTGAAAAATTGATTGGTTGCCTCGGTAAAATCTGACAAAAAAAAACATGATGTTCCTCCCAAATACCCTCTGGTAAACTAACATAACTATGGAAAATCACCATTTCTTATGGGTAAATCCATTGTAAATGGCCATTTTCAATAGCTGTGTTAAATTACCAGAGGGTACTGGGAGTTTCCTGCATCTTGGGAATCTTATGGTAAACCTTGGCTGCCGTGGTCACCATCTTCGCTGGCAGTGCCTCCATGACGAGCTGGTTGTGCTCCTGGCACTGGAACAGCGTGCGCGTCTGCAGGCTGGCATGGTATCCAACAAAAATGGGGTAACATGAGTATGAACATATATATATATATCACTATATATATATATATCTCACTATATATATATGTATATATATATACATATATATCATTAGTATACATATATATATATATATATCATTAGTATACACATATGTATATATATATATATGTGGGTGTATGTATATGTATGTTATGTATATATACAGTACATATATAGTCCATTTCAGAGAAAAACAACGTTTGGGTTTATCCAAAAATGGGGGATAGCCCAAAACGTTGGGATACTCTAGTGTCGCACAAACCCGTATGTGTCAAAACGTTGGTACCCTTTTGAAGATTCAAAATTTTGGAGGTGTGGATAATTCCTACAAGTACGGTGCTGTGCGCAGCACTACGGAAATACAAACTTGGCAACGTAGGAGAAATATCCTACGGAATTTTATATTATCCACATATATTATATATATATATTATCCACATCCATCTCAGAGAACATCTTCCCGCCTTTTTCGGCATCTGAGCTTTTTAATGAGTCACGTGGAGCCCACTGGCCAATACCCAGTCGAAGCCGCCCATCGTTCGCTCCAGTGTCTTGCGGCTCTTCATGACGCGCACAATCACGGCCTCAAGTGACCCCACTCGGTAATTTCAGACTTTGCAACCGGGAAAATCCACCACTTTATTTGGGGAATCGTTCCATTATTTTTTCTCCGTTTATGGACAATGTTCCATTGCCATGCGATGGAAAATCAGATGTTTTTTACTGTAAATAGGTAAACCATCGAAGTAAATGCGCCATCTACAAGATAGCTATTTTTAATTACCAGAGGGTAACTCGGCAACCAGGCTCATTGACCTCTTACTGATTCTCCAAGTTAAGGTGGGCATCTGTAGAAACAACAACCATGAGGGATATGAAAACTAAAAAGGGTCATATACCCGACTGTATTTTGGAAGACACAAACAGTAATTGTGGATTTCTATACATATATATATAATGCGGAAACAAAATCATGATCACCAAGCTGCACCAACAGTCGTAGGTATAAATTCTATGATTCTGCCAGGTGCTGAGGTTCTCCCAGCGTGACATGAACATACCCACCTCATGGGGCCGAATAGAAGAATGCGGGAATCGATGGCATGAATTGAAAAAAAAAACTTTAGTTCCAGAAAGCTCCATTTTCTAGACAGCTTTCCCATGGATTTTCCGAATGTCCCACGATTTTCCCAGGTTTCCCATGCCCAACCGCCTCCACGAGGTGCTTGCGGTCCTAATCGCTTGGAAAGGAAACGGATGAAACTTGACATGGTTCAATGGTAGTGTTATGAAGAATAGTTAATAGAATTGTTACTCATGGTTAATAATGAAATGATAGCGGATTGATAAAGGTAAATAGCGGCGAATAATCGATTGATAGTGGATTGAGAATAATGATGGTTGGTAACTAGTGATGATTAAAAATGATGGTCACGTATTCTTGTTAATCATCATTGTTCTTGATCATCATTTTTAAACATGTAATAGTATTATTGATGATGTTTAAATGATGATTGACAATGGATTAATGGTTAATAATGATGGTAAATAATGATTGTAAGAAAGATGGTTAGTACCTGTTCGTATAGCAATGGTGCAAAATTGGGGATGGCGGATCCTAGTGCTTTACTAACATAACTTAAATCGATCTCTATTGGCTGAAAAATATGCTCTACAAAATTAGAAAAAAAAACTGATGTCCTTGGAGCAAATGGGAGTGTCTTATTTAAGTCATCCAAGTTATCGATAGATATTATGTGTGTATATATATATATATGTGTAGCACATATATATATATATATATAGTGGGTCATAGCACCTTCTGGGTCAGTTTATGTGATGTTCACTTTGGTGAAATGAAAAGGTAGGAGGAATACCTCAGTCTTGAGAAGCACCCATAACCCAACAGGTTTTGCCAAAAAATGTCGTGTGAAAACCCACAAGATGGGGCCCCCGAGTTATGTTTGTTGGTTTAGTTTCACCCCATGAATACTCTAGTCATATTCCCCTGTTCAACCCAACAGTCAACCAAGTTGTTTGCGCCAACTTAGCTACCTGAATCCCATTAAATCCCATCAAATCGCATCATCATCATCATCATACCCCATTAACTCTCCGTTTTTGCTCGTAAAATACCTACAATATCTGGAGGCCGTGGTTGAAATCCAATTGTTTTTCCCCCATCATTGGCCGGGCCAAAGCCTGCCTCTTCCACGGTGGCCGGAACATCTGCACTTCCCGCAGCATCGGTGCCCTGCCAAGCGCATGCCAAGCGCATGGCAAAATCATTGGGGACGGGTTGAGTTGGGAAAAAAGGGGGTTGAAAGTTGAAATCAGAGTTTGTATCATCAATCATGGGATAGAATGGGAATATCATGGGATTGTACCTTTAAGAAAGTACCATTGGGGGGTTCCAAAAATATTTGTTTTTCCTTCATCCAAGGGATGAAGAGTTACCTTTGGCAATTGAATGATCCAATTCTTCTCGCTGGAATTCCCGTTGTTTTGGGTTGAATTGCCATGTCTACAGTTTCCAACTACCTACTTGTCAAAATCTCAGTGTTGCTCGTGAATATCCCACTGTTTGAGTAGTATGGTTTTCTCGTGAAATGGTGAGTGCTACTGATCCTGGTTTCACTGGAGAACTTGCACCTGTAGATTACCATGCGCACTGATGAAACTCCATGAGTTTGCTGCTTCAATGTCCAGCTTTTTCCAGTGAAATTGCCCTTTACTTCCCATTGATTGCATCAATTCTAAGGAAAATACGCAAAAAATCAAAGGCGTTGTCCACAAATCGGGAAAACTCCAAAACTCTGGGTAAGACTGCCATCATGTTCCTCAAAACAAAACTGCCATCTTTTCAGTTTTGGAATCGCTGCGCCTCAGCTGTGAGGTTGGTTTCACCACGCAGTTGGACCAAAGGGACCTCCGTTTCAGCTGGGTTCCTCCATCTCATGGTTAATACGGGTGAATAATAGAATGGCTAATAGAATGGTTAATAATGGATTGATAATTGTTATATAATGTTATATAATAATGGTTGATGATGATTCATAATGGTTCATAATTGAATGATAATGGTTAATAATGGAATGATAATGGTTGATAGTGGAATTATAATGGTTAATAATGGTTCATAATGGAATGATAATAATAGTGGCGAATAATGGGATTCCCATGGGATATAATGGTTAAGAATGGTGAATAATAGTGACTCATAGTGGTTAATAATGGTGAATAGTGATATGGAGGTATCCGTTTTGTCATGGGGATGCCCCAAATGATCTAAAATTAGACCTTTCAGTACTTAATTTCCATGGTTTTGGGCATCCCCCATTTTAAGAAACGCCCATATAATATTGAAACACAGATGGTGCCCCCGTTTCGAAAAATTACCCTCTGGAGGTTAAACAACAAAAAATATTGGATCGAATCGAACCCACAAACCACCAGCAATATGTTCCAAGCACCAATTACCTCCCGCGATTGCCTTGATCCTCATGAGTTTGCTCTCAAACTGAGGATTCACCATAAACCTTAGTGATGCCGAATGCTGCTGGAATGAGTTGCCAAGTGCCCCAAACTCCCCAGAATTCCACATGGCTTCGCCACCTTTTTGGATTCCTGTGGGGTTTGGGGAGCCTACTGTTGAGCCACACGTTCAAACTCAGAAGCCCATAGCCCTTCCCGGTGGGTCAACATTGCTCTGCAACTCGTGTCATCTTGTCGTACCACAATGAAGCCGAGCCAAGGAAAAGTCATGTCGCTATATCATCTGGTTGGTGGTTTCAACCCCCTTGAAAAATATGATTTCGTCAGATTGGATCATTATCCCAACTCTTGGGGAAAATAATCCAAATGTTCCAAACCACCAACCATCAACCAGCCATATATCCTTGTGTCATGACATTTCCCATGTGGAAACAGCTTATCACCAGAGGATGATTTGATCATCCCAATATGGAGGTGTCCGACAAAAATGGAAGGGGTACCCCCCATCCATGTGAAAAATAGGATGTTCCATGATCATATTATATTTTTCCCCACCTGCCAGGTGAGGGTTGTTAGATTTTATGTCAGTTGCCTCCTCCTGCCTCCTCCTGACTCCTGCCTCGTCCTCCTCCTCCTCATCCTCCTCCTCTCCTCCTCGTCCTCCTCGTCCTCCTTGTCATCCTTGTCGTCCTTGTCGTCCTCGTCGTCCTCGTCGTCCTCGTCGTCCTCGTCGTCCTCGTCGTCCTTGCTCAACTGCGACCCGCGATCCACAGTGTTCTCTGCCGGACCTCAACCACGACCACCCACGCCCAGTGTTCCCTGCCGGACCTCAACCACGACCAGCCACGCCCAGTGTTCCCTGCCGGACCTCAACCACGACCAGCCACGCCCAGTGTTCCCTGCCGGACCTCAACCGCGAGTATCCACGCCAAGTGTTCCCCTGCCGGACCTCATGTAGGAAGATATGGGACATAGAATGCGCAGAAGAAAGTTAGAAAGAATGTCAGAAAGAATGTCAGAAGATATGCCAGAAGATATGCCAGATAGAATGCCAAATAGAATGCCAGATAGAATGCCAGATAGAATGCCAGATAGAATGCCAGATAGAATGCCAGAAGATTTGCCAGATAGAATGCCGGAAAATATGCCAGAAGATATGCCAGATAGATATGTCAGAAGATATGCCAGAAGATATGCCAGAAGATATGCCAGAAGATATGTCAGATAGAATGCCAGAAGATATGTCAGAATATATGCCAGAAGATATGCCAGATAGAATGCCAGAAGATATGTCAGCTAGAATGCCAGAAGATATGCCAGAAGATATGCCAGATAGAAATGCCAAATAGAAGTCAGAAGATATTCAGATAGAAGGCCAGAAGATGCCAGAAGATATGCCAGAAGATATGCCAGAGATAGCCAGAAGATATGCCAGATAGAATGCCAGATAGAATGCCAGAAGATATGTCAGAATATATGCCAGAAGATATGCCAGATAGAATGCCAGAAGATATTTCATATAGAATGCCAGAAGATATGCCAGATAGAATGCCAGAAGATTTGCCAGATAGAATGCCAGAAGATATGCCAGATAGAATGCCAAATAGAATGTCAGAAGATATGTCAGATAGAATGCCAGAAGATGTGCCAGTAAGAACATGTATAAATGTCATGGTGGGGATCACACGAAGTAAAGTAATTTTTATAAACCCCATCCATTTTGGGGATCCCCTATTTTAAGAACCTCCATAATAATCATATAAAAAGTCCGATTATGGTCACCCATCCATCACTCGAGTTTCCGAGCTGGTCGCTGTCCTCAGGATCTTTCTTCTCTTTATCTGGATCTCTTCTCACCAGTATTTTGGCCTCCAAAAATCCAGCTGAAGTTCACCCGCGGGAAATGTGAAGATTCAAACAATGATTTATGAGCTTGGGGGAAGAGCCACCCCATGTTTTAAGAATTTGATATACCCTCTGGTAATTTAACATAGCTATGGACAATCACCATGTTTTATGGGAAAACTCACTATAAATGGTCATTTTCAATAGCTATGTTAAATTACCAGAGGGTAGTTTTATGACTTTCAAATATTCAGGGTCAACATTCATGGTACGATTTTATTCCCTCTTGGTTCCACCTCAAATGCCATGGTTGGTGGTTGGAAGTGATCGAAAAGATTCCCCAGACTCAACGAGAGCTACAAGAATTTCCAGCAGATACCCCCTAAGCCATTGGGTTTACCCCAGTAAAAGTGATCAATAGCTTGGATGATAACTTCTTGGGTCCCTTGATTGAGTAGAACCCATGCGCAAATCTACACATGTCCAGATATTCTATGGATTTCTATGGCAAGCTCTCACTGTTCATCGACACGAAAAGATACCCCACCGCAGTTTCATGTGTGAACCAACAACTTGTCCAAACCCCACTTCGAAGAATCGTTGAGGATAGGACCTTGTGTCTTTACAACATGCAAAGATCTTAATCAAAAAAAGGAGACCGTTGCATGAAGAAAATCATCTATCTAGCATCAGCGTTGCTCCCAACACCCCAGGTACAAGGGCGATGAATTTGGTAGAGGTAAAATTAAATTGCCCATTTCCCACCCAAAAGAATCAAAGTGGCGATCACGTACATGATCAGTATCCTTCAATAGGTTGGAGCACCCAAAGGAGCATCCTTGATACCTGGCTAAATAATCATCCTGAGGTAGATAGAATACGGGATGTTCAAAGATATTCCCATTTTTGCGGTGATATTCTGGAAATTTCCATATTCTATCTGCAGGACTATATATACATCCCACATAATATGCTAATACCATCTAATACCTAATTCCCAAAGACGACTCGTTGTGAACATCGTGGAATCGTACCTTGGGATTGACGTAAAGGCTCATCAGATGCCGTTTCAGCTCCTCCAAGGGAATGTTGCTTCTCACCTGCAGGTCCTGACGTCGGGGCTTGGGGCGATGCGATGGGTGACGTGGGTAAATGGCATTTAAATGGCATATAAATGGGATGAATGGGATATAAATGGGATAATCAATAGGATATATACATGGGATGATATGAATGAGAGATATATATATATAAATGGAATATAAATGGGATGACCATGATCTGAATACCCTCGCACAATTGAACATGGCTGGCTGAGAAATCGCGACACGAAAAATGGCGTTTTTTTCGTTGGGAAATCATCGAACCAAATGTGGGGATTTCCAGCACCCCTTTTGATTGCCAGAGGATGATTGATGGGATGCTGAAAAATAACAAAATGATGGGATGACTGGGATGACCAACTTTTCTAGATGATTTGTGAAAACAGATTGAAGCATATTGTTCCCATTGCTTTAGATTACTAGAGCATAAACATGCGGATGATGATGTGGAACAGTCCCAAGGTACCTGTGCAGACAGTGCCTGACAGGTCGAGCTAAGATTCCTCCTGTCAAATCATATGTTTATGTAATCATTCTATGATTAGTTATGTGTATCATGGATGTGTATGTAGGTATTATTATAAATATTCATATATATATATATATATATACGTATATATGATATATGCTATATGTGTTTGGGTGTACATCCACAGACATGACATAGAAGATACCACCCGCGGCATCTCGCTTTAAAATGGGCAGCGTTTTGAACACAGGCCAGGACATCGTCCAGGCCAGCCTACACCCTCTGGTATATAATCAAACGTGGCTAGCTGGGAAATCCCCAGTAACTGGATGTTTTAATGAGAAAATGATCTAGTGGAGGGCAGTTGATCCAAAACACAACAAACCTGATTTGTTGATATTCGGTGATTTCTTAGGGAATTGAATGTGTTCCCATGTTTCAACAATTTTATATAATGACCTTAGCAGCTCCAGCACGCAGCACGCTCAACGCTGAGTGCTAGCACGCAGGTTCGTCACGCAATGGGTTTTTAGCATTGTGATATATGTAAATGCATTTAACTAGATCCGAAAAAAGGATCCATACAAAATTTAGACCTTAAAGGGCTAGTAAATCGCAAGTTCGAAACGCATGGGGTTTTATTATCCTATTCATACCTCGGTGCATTTACTTTTCTGTGGCAAAAGCATCCGGTAACGTGCGAATATCTGCTTGACGTCCGGATGCATTTTGCGCTTCCCAAAAAAGCATCTGAGGTTTCCCCGTTTCCTCCAAAAGGGTAATTTCTTTCAGGGTGTTGAAAAATCAACGCCACTTGGAGGTACTAGTGCGGCTCTCATGAATGTGATGAGTATCTCATGATATCTCATGCTTATCGTCACTCCAATGCATTTTTCCTATTCCAATAAAAGCATCCACTATCTAAATCAAGATAAACATATCTACTAGGATGCACACCGGGAAATATGCATTGGAGTGAGTGCTGAGCACGCGAGTGCTGAGTGCCAGCACGCGAGTGACGAAACAGCTAAGATAATGACCCATCATCGATAATTGGGTCGGCCAATCTCGGTCACCATGCCACAATTCTAAACGAGTCCCGTTTCGCTGATTTCTTGGGCGGAAAAAAATTGAATGTGTCCTCTTTATGATCACAAAAAGGCCATACCCTCTGGTAATTTAACACAACCATTTTGCAAGCACCATGTTCTTAAACCGTAAATCATCGAACTAAATGGGAAATGGCTTTCATAGCAAACTGTAAGAAATTACCTGTAAATTCTCTGGCGCAATCTTCGCAAACCAACCGCATCAAACCGCTCCTTGTAAGTCAAGGTGACGTGCTGGTTGAAGAGCATCAAGATGCACATCTGGTAAGTTGTCACGTTGAGCTCATGCTTGGTCTTGGGCATCTGGGCCTCGATGTTGCGAAAGTAGGAAACCCAGGGGGTCCCCGATGCCTCCGATCAAAGATGACCTGAAAAATCCATCATTTGGTGAGTTTTGCCAGCTTTCAATCTCCATTTACAGGGGATTTCCCATCGTTTCCTATGGTTTTCCTTTGGTTGCCTATGATCTTGCCATGGAAAAAACAACATTTTTTGTGGGGATTTCTCAGCCAGCCACCTTGATGTCTGCGAGTCCATGCTGCGGCTGCCAATAGAGCTTTCGACCTGGAATGGCTTCGCCGGCGAAGTGGATGCTGAAACCATCCCAGAATTTCGAGGGAAAATGTGGGATCCAATTCTTGAAATGAATCAGGACATTTTTTTCAATGATCAAGGAAACTGCAGGATCATGTTCAAGAATCAGGATCAACTACAGCAATGATGGAACATGAAAAAATGCATTTAAAATTTGAAAAAAAGAATAAAAAAATGCCAGTCAAAGCATATGGGAGTGAAGGCCACCTGCTTCCTTAGCTTCTCTCCCAATGGGGTCATCGCCTGTGTGCTTTGCCAGGTAGAAGGTTTCGAATCGGCTGCAGCAGTCCTAGACACATGTGGCGGCAAGTGTGGGTTTTGTTCGATTCAATCTGTTCCAACTTAAATGACCATTGAAAAATAGTCCTGGAAAATTGTCCATAGTCCATAGATCCATAGTGGTTATCCATAGTGATTACACCATATTACACCACTACCCTTGAAGGCAAACACCCCAAAATTCACCCCCTTGTCTTGCTTCTATGTCGCTTCCTATTGGGGTCATCAAATGGAGGTTTCGTTCGCAAAATCCTGGATTTTCCAGGATTTACCCACCATTGATAGATGTCCCCATTTATTGCGGGTGATGTCCCCAGCACATTGATAGATGTCCACCATTGGAGGCTAAACCCACCACAAGCATGGGTAGATATCCCCACCAGCGGGTGATGTTCCCATCCGATTGTTGAGAATCCCAGGTCATCCCCAACAAAACTCAGCATCATTGACATCCGCGATCACTCAGCATCCCAATGATCCAAACAATCCATATCCCATCATTGGCTGATCATTCTACTCCAATGATCCCAATGATCCCAATGAAACCACTGAAGTCTTAAAGCATCAAATGTTCATCCATCAATTGGATGCGTGGATTACTTCAGAAACTCCCATGGAGAATCCGCCAGATAGGTCAAAAACAACACAATCGTTTCCCAAATCGCCATGAGTCATCCCAATCATCATCAATCATCAAGATATCCAAACTAAGTCATCAAATAGTCATCAAATGATCTTCCATTTACCCTCCGGTGTCATCAAACATGGCGTGCTGGAAAATACCCCCAGCGAACTAGTTCCATGATTTTCCCAGCGAACTAAACCTCCATGTTTCGCCGGGTTTTCGCAGCTAGCCACGTTTGATGACCCTATTTGGCTATGGATCAATACCTACATACCATTTTTAGGGGGATGAACATCCATTTACCAGCTATTTTGATGTTCACCAGGAGGGTTTTGACCCATCCCCATTTAGATCATGGGCCCCCTTTGTTCCCATGGGGAATCCCTATTCATTGGGACCAAAGGTTGAAACGAGGCCTGAACTTCAGGAGGCAACTCGCAGGGGGAGCCAGGAGGGCCTCACAGTTGAGGCTTTTTAGCAACGAACATTGTGGATTTGAGCAAGAAAAATCAAAGATGTCACCCACAAAATGTGGGTTTATGATGGTTTATGATGGTTTAATAAACATTGATAAATGTGAGTTTATGATGATTTATGAAGAAAGGCACTGAAAAACATGATTCAAGCGCATAAAAAAAAGTATGATTCTAACCCACAGACAAAGTCAAGAGCACTCTTTGATGCGACTTCAGTTACGCTATAACTATTGGAAGATCTATCTTGGTATGTCTTAAAACTGGGTCCTCCAACTGAACACGAACCATCAATACTGATCTATACGAGGAATGAACTGTAGATATATATATATATACATATATACATATATATACACACACATGGAAGCATATATATATATAATGTTAGTAAAGCAATAAGATCCACCCTTCCCAAATTTACCATTTTGATGTGTATATATAAACAATCCAAAAAAATGGATGGTTTATGACATTGCTTTACTAACATTAGATTCCGACAAATAGATATATCTCATATATTCCTATTCTATTCTCATTGTATATCTCCATGTTGGTTGATATACTGTATTTCCGTATTATATATAGTCCCTATGATTGCTTTGCTAACATGATCAACCGGGGGTTCTGAACAATATCCCATTGATATCAACTGGACTATTCTTCAGATTAACATATATTAAACATATATCAAACATATATTGACATATATTGTATAACCATTCGAATCCAATGATAATCCCATTATCCCTCAATCCTAGTGTTTTACTAACATTATTGTAAGCAACATAAATGAAACAATAAAATAATTAACCAGGATCATCCCATTATAGTCCCATGATAGTCACCAATGTTCACCAGTGTTGCTGGTGACTATATGGTTAATACATGGTTGATATCATCCCATGGTTAATATAATCACCGTTATATACCTTTATATATATATGATAACTATTAGTTAATACCGTTGTTATACCATTATATCCAATTGTTATATACCCATTTGTTCACAATGACCATTACCCTCTAGTTATTTAACATAGCCATGGAAAATGGCCCATTTATAGATGATTTTCCTATTAAAACCTCCATTTATAAGTGATTTTCCATGGCTATGTCAAATAACCAGATGGTATATACCATAATAACCATTATAGTTACCCCTCGTGAATCCCTGATCTCCCCATTGAATCTTTCCAGCCAAGCCTGGCCAAAAGCCGCTAGTCAGCACAGACACCTGACGTATGACGAGGCGCGTCGCAGTAAACGAGGAAGCCAAAGATCAAAATGATGTCCCAAAATCGACCAAGAAACACTTCAATCAAAAATGGCTGTGCAAAAGTTCGCTTGTCAAAATCAATCGAATTGAACCATGTCAATCAGCAAATCACCAACTGCAGCCAGGCCTTCAAATCAATTGACGAAGACATCGCCGGAGTGGTGCCTTGCCGTGGGGTAAACTAACGACGCGGAAAAACAATGGGGAAAACCCAGGAAAACCATCTGCAAATGCTGGGTTTTCTACATCTATGTGAGTTTACAGCAGGGATCAGCAGGGTATCCACAATGACAAGCCCGCGTTAATAAGCTCTTGGGCTGTCTGATCATTGGGCTGGGTACCATTTCAGTCGCAGATGACATCACTATTTGGGGGGTACCCCCTAATTCATCGAGGAGGGCTTCGATTGACATTATCCAATTTCCCTCCCATTGCCATAAAGTGGGGATACCCCCTAATTTTCACCCAAGATAAAACAACTCCACTAGTCATTCAAAGTAAACCCTTAAACCATTTAGACCATTTAAAACCATTTAGACCTCCATGTTTAGCATCGCTAAATCATCCTTCAACCATCGCTATTCAGCTGCTTTCGACTGCCGTCGCCTGTACGAGGTGCCATCCCTCGCCTCGGAAAAATGGTGATGTTCCATGGGAAAATCTCGTGGGATATCGGGACATCATCATGGGATATATCAACAACAACAGAAAGATGCCGAAAAATGTGTGTTTCAAGGTAGTTCCATGATATCATCAATATACTGTATCCCTTGGAACTCCCAGGTGTACAACTTTTTGGGATCTATTCGGGGGTTGCTATGTTCTGACAAACATGTGAGAATGTTTTAGAAGGCACTCATGTCGTTCAAGTTCGTTGCAACTTTGCGGATGTTCCATGTTCAAGCATTTCAGACTTATATGGACGTTTCCTAAAATGGGGTATCTACCCTCATTCTAAAATGACTTTCCACTATATATAAACCATCCAGCTATTGGGGTACCCCCTTGACTATGGAAACCATCTCTCTGGTTGGGTGTGCATCCCATTTAGTGAGTGAACCCACATATAACTGGGGTATATGCCCTATCAAAATAATAATAACAACAACAACAGTGATGATAATAATATAGAAAATAAATTATGATTGTCACTGTAGCCACTTGCTGACCGGGATGCACATCCAAGTACTTACACCATCAAGATACAATGCTGGACATCGCACTCGCACTGGCATAACTCTACGCGTATTCCTGCAACATGTCCGTTTAGATAGGGAGAGTGCCAGATCTGGACTGATATCATTGGTTTGAGGGAAAAATAGGGAAAATTACAGCGAAACCCTGACGATATCATCTCAAGAGGCTTCAAGGATGAAGGTTGAGCATCCAACGCCAATGATGGACTCGCAAAGGAGTTCTTGTACCTGGGGCTCCATCAATATTGGCCATGGCAGTTTGGCGCAACATCTTGAAATCACCGGTCAAAAAAGGCATTGATGAGATTTCCTCCTATGAAAAACTGAGTCCAAGCATGGCCGTATCAGGAGAGACCGCTTGCCCAAAACTCGTGCGGGATTTACACCAGGGACCAACCCCTTCTAGGCGAATCTTGGGTGTGGGACCCAGCCGGAGACCCAAAATCTCTCACAACGGCGGCCCAGTCAAAACGGGCTGTAACTGGCTCACTGCTTCATGATGTCTTCCGACAACTTCATGTCCTGAAACCTCGGTTTATCTGGCTTTCAACCCCGAAAAATGATGGAGTGAAAGTCACTTGGGATGATGAAATTCCCAATATGGGAAAATGATGGGAAAAAATAAAAGTCATGTTCCAAACCACCAACCAGTTATAATATAAACCATCCATTTTGGGGTACCTGGAGCGTTTTTTAAGTCTGAGGTCTCGCACATTCCCTCCAACTTGGAGGTGTACTGATGACCACATTCACCTTACGTGGCCAAGGCGAGGACTCGAACACCAATTTCTCAACATCTTATCTGCTAAAGCATGGTGCCAATGAAGGACTGAATCTTTAAAAAAAAAGATACCACACTTATTATCCATATATATATATACAATTATATACATACAATTATATACATACATCATATTGTTTGATAAAATATTGGTGTTGGTATAATATGAAAAAAATGACTGTTCACCGCCGTGCTGATGCGCCAAGTATTCCAAGTGGCTTTTCAACTTGGAGATCATGCTCCTTTCGGCCTCATCGCTCACACTGCGACCTGGTTTCCGTCATTCAAAAAGTGCGGTCAAAGTGTACACTTTGAGAGAAAGAGGACCCTTTCATTGATGATCTTTAATGATTTTTAATGTATGATCAAATATAACGCCAAACCAACGAGGCCAGTTTCAAGACTTGTAAAATAGCCTGATCACGGATTAATAAGCCAACGTGGAAAGTCTGGAAAGTCCAATGATGTCCAATGTTCATGAAGTGGATTTCTCAGTAGCTTTTCCAATGTTTCACATGGTTTCACAATGTTTCACACATATCACCAGGGTAGGCTGGTTCCAGTTGCTGGGATGATCCTGGTGGATGGCATGGTGATAAACGGTGCTTGGGGTGAAGGTGATAGTAACTCCTGCATGGCATCAGGATTCGGATCACAAAGGTATGACTCGGTCTTGGCTTTCCAGCTTTAACATGGGTTTGTCTGAAAATGTTGTGTACCCCCACACCCAATGGTTTTGCTGATCATTATCCCTACTAAATGGCTATAATTGGGGGTATACCCCATTTTCAGACATACCCACATCTTTATAAACAAAGGACATGCCCCATGCTGCCTTTTACTCAGCACTGTAGCAAACGAGCATGCGATGTGGCCCACGCAAGATTTTACCTGCGGAGGCTGGAACATCTGTCACAAGTACCAACGTTCCACGGTAATTCGCCTCGGCTTCGAAATCGCTCATCTCTATCTGCAATTCTTGTACACTCTGAAACTTCACGGTCTTCAGCTTGTAGTCAAGCAGCTCCGCGAGTATCTTGACGCATGTCTCATTGATAGGCCCTTTGACTTCTGCAACTTCGCAAAATGATAAGCGCAGCTGCACGTGGACCATCTTAGAGACCTCAGGGTGTGCGAGCGCCGCAAACTCACACGGCTCCTGTTCAATCTTGGTCAGGAGATGTTTCCAGGATGCTAAGCCTTCTTGTGGGTTCCAGTCCAGTGACACCAGAACAAGTGACACGTTTCTCCAATGAACATTTGGAGACACATCCCAATACCCGCACTGTGTCAATTCGGCATCAAAGTTGTCCGGAAAGGCATCGCCAATGACACCACAACCAAGCACGCAACCACTGATCCCTCTCTTGAGGAGCAGGATGGGTGGTGCTTCTGTAATCACCGAAGTGGCTGCAACACGAGCAACCTCCAGCCAATGATTGGAAGCCAAGTGCTTGAACCTCCTGAGCCCCTCATAATTTTGTAGCAGTCCTAAGTGGAGCATATTCCATGTCTCGCCCAAAGCAGTCAGCTCCCCAAAGATCCGAACAAAATGGAGTTCACTGTCTGCATGGATGGGCCATCCACTCAGGACTTCATGAACCATGGCTTCAGCTTCATCAGCAGGAACTGTAGGTGCTGATCTTGCTGTCCATGTCCCCTCAAGATGCGCTGTCCCCGGGTCAAATTTATTGCCGCGCATAGCATCCAGGAATTTGCCAATGTGTGGATACCTCTCAAGACATGCTTCCATATCGCCACGCTTGATCACAAGCGAGTCAAAAGCATCCAGCTGCAGGTTCATGTCCAATGGCCTCAATGGCTCGTCTTCGGTGTAGAAAAGGAGGCGAAACCAAGGATAACACCAGAACATCGGTCCCTGCGGATCACAAAGGACTTTCTGGAGATCTCCCAACGTTCCACCAGGCAGCTGGAAGCTACACACACCTTTGCCACTGAAAGACGTCATGATTGCTACAGAGATGTCGCCATTGCCGGATCGGTTTGATGACAACGACGCAGTGAGCACTGTCGCCATGATCTAAGACTAAAACCTTGAGACTGCTGAGCCGTAGGTGCTGTCGAATGAGTTCAGCAGATGCCAAGGGAAAGAAGAAGGTCAGACAAACAACGACCAAACGTAGTCCTCCTTTGAGATAGTGTGCGCCCTAGTGAAACCCAAACATGTTCCATGCCCTTCACTTACAAGCAAGCCTTGCTGCTTGAAATTGCAAGCATGCCCAAAGATACACACCACTATCAATTACAGTAGAGAATATGCAATTTGATACAATTGTTAAAATTGTTTATCTTTGCAGGGCCCTGCAAGTGCAATCTATGCAAAGCTTCGTGTTGTGTTCTCGCGCGCAAAAGTCACATTGGTATACATTGGTGATCATTCGTTCACCTCCAACAATCCCGGCCTGTCAGGAGTCGTCGAGCCAAGTGCTGCTTGTAGAAATTCTCGAAAACATCCTGAGAAAATCATCGCACCTATTGCTTCTCCGAATCAGATGTTACCCCCTTTGTTGAAAATGGGTAAAGATTGGAGAACCCATGAACCCCCAAATGTCCCGGATTTTGGCAGGTCGAAACTTCAGTTTGACCCTTGCCCGTTTCGTCAAGCCACTAGTTCTCCCCAAGATTCTTGGGGACTAAAAGGGAGCCGCGCAGATTCTCAAGCATCACCGGATCCAAAAACAAATGGATGGACATCCCAGATGTAAAAAGGCTACCCCTCAAATCTGTTGTTTAATCTGTTGTTTATCGTCATATCTACCATTGAGACAGCTATAAACTGGTGTAACTGCCCCATTCTCAGACACACCCATCACTTTATGGTTAATATCCCTACATATGTCTATAGATAGAGATAGATATATATATATATAATTATATATGTATTATACACATATTGTATACATATATAGAGATTCGAGATAGAGATAGAGATAGAGATAGATGTATAATCATAAATGTATATATATATATGTATATATATATATAGCCCTCTGATTTCTGGTTAACACATGTCAATACCGCAGTACTACATACTGTATTTATTTGACCGGCTATTTCTTGGGTAAAATCTCCCCGTTTGGACTGCGCTAGACCGCCTTGTCTTGGAGGAAGCGGAAGACGGTGACCACCTGGAGCCAATCCCAAAGGCGGGTGAATGGGTATTGTAAATGAGATATGATCTAATATAATGTGTATATATATAATTATATATATAATTATATATATAATTATATATAATTATATATATATAATTATATATATATATGTAATTATATATATATATAATTATATATATAATTATATATATAATTATATATATAATTATATATATATATAATTATATGTATATATATATGTACATATAAATATATATATGTACATAAATATATATATATGTATATATCTATATACATATGTAGATATATATATATCTTTTTATATGTAGATATATATCTTTATATATGTAGATATATATCTTTATATATGTAGATATATATCTTTATATATGTAGATATATATATATGTAGATATATATATATATATGTAGATATATATATATGTGTGTATATGTAAGCACAGGTGGATATATCTACATATCTGTAGATATATATATATATATGCATTAAGATGTGACAGTTGGGTCTAAGTGGTTATACTACTGGTTGAACCTGGATACAGCCCCCACCAACTTGGGGATTTTGTGGACTTGAACGTGTTACAGTCTGTTCTTGTGCCAGAAACCAACAGTTTGGGGCCCTTCCATGCATCTTGGACGCACTCACATTTGGAAACCCAGACTTTGCTGATATACATATATATATATACACATGTATGTATATAGTTGTATTTATATATATATAAGCCCTGTTAATACTTCTACATGTGCTGAATTATGTTTGTAAATATACACTTCATACCGAAATTTCGACTGGTGAACTCCCCCATTGTTTCTAGCCATCTTCCCAGCTCCAGCAATGCGAGGCAATTACCAACAGACAGCCCTTGCCATGACATAACAACAAGATATTATCCTGGGACAAAATATGGAAAAATACCAACAAAATGATAAACATAGGGGCTGTAGGTCCTTCCACCCTGCTAAACATCCCAATGAAAAGACCACCAATGCGAGATCTTCACCTGGAAAAGTTGTGTTCATTACTCGGAAACTTGACCACTAGGGATTTTTATATCTATATATCACATATGATATGTGTCATGTAATATATGTATATATTTTTTCTCAGCCATGGTTTCATGCCGGTATTGGCATATGGGTGAAACAGTGGGCATGCGGAAGCGATCGGTTTTCAAAATTGGCGGCTGCGTGCACAGTTTAATAGTTCTTGGTTTTGTTGGGCGGTGTTTTCATACCTTCTTTCCCTAAATCATTTTCCCACGCGTATTTATTGGAGTATTGCGTCCATTGCTGCCTGGGGCCACCTACTCTTCTTTTACCTACATCGAACGTTACTGCGGAATTAGGTTCATAACTAACCCGCCTAAGCGGGTCATTGTCATTGCTACGTAAAATATGCCCCGCTAGTCTAATTCGTCTATCTATACTGTATATACATATCGCGTGTATATGTAGAATATATATATATGTATAATTGTCGCATTCTAGGTGTGCATTGCTATACACATATCTATTGAACGACCAGGTGTCCCGGTTTCGAAAAACTGCAGCGACCTGCTCGAGTGCTGCATCGACATCGGCATCGTTGGACATGCCTCGCAGACCCTTGCGGAACCTCAGCAGTTTTTGGGGGTTGATCCCCTTGGGGGATGGGAAGATCTTCAATGGGGGGTATACAAAACCGTTGGATTTGAGGGATTTCATAGGGGATTTTGATGGATTTTTGATGACTTGAATAGTGATTTTCATGGGGATTTTTTCCCGGTGATGTCCTGGGATTTCATAGGGGATTTCATGAAATTTTCATCAACAAAATTACATCCATCCGGTGACATCCGGTGACATAACTATGGTGGTGACCTTTGCGGGTGCCTTGAGCGATCACCTTGAGCCAAACCATGGTATTGTTTGGGACATATACAAACGGGAGATTGTACGTGGAATATACGTGGAACATGTTCAATGGGATGATATACTGTCCAAAAACTGGGTTTTTTTATTGGAATGATTTAGGGAAGAATCTATGGGAAGCCAGCGTTGTTCCCATCAAATAGATGGCTGCCAGAAAGTAAGTTGAGGAAATCAAGATGTAAAATGATGTAAATAGTCACCCATTTGCCATCCTTGTCGCAATCATTCAGCTATAGTCTGGAGGAACCCTGACGTAGGCAATGACCTCGGTTCCATTTGAGTTCATCAAAGCCATTTTTCTGTGGGAAATCACTATTTTTTAAGCCATTGAAATTTAGAGAAACCCCCCACTTTTTGGGACAAACCTAGACATCAACCAATTTGGGTCCTCCACTCACCACCTGCTAGTCACCAGTCACCACCAGTCACCACCAGTCACCACCAGTTACCCATCTGCCCACTGAGTTCGAGCACTGGTCATCCACATAAAGCGACAAATACTGGGCCGTCCGAGTGTCCTGGCAGCACTGTCCATGGATTGATAAAACCAATCACCAACAAAAACCTTGCTTTGACCCACAAAAAAAAAAAACGGGGTCCTTGATTTTTTGTTCCATTCTGGGAGGTTGAGATAGATTGTCTATGATCTATGGATTTTGTTTACAGTCATCGACAAAAGTGGGCCCTACATGGCCTGGTTCGAAAGGGATTTTGTAGCTGTACAGTGGTTTGCAAGAGGGGAAAAAGATTTTGGGGACCAATGTGCTGCGAGTCAAAATTGCAGCCTCACGTAAAGGATGGTTCAATACGAAAGCCCAAGAGAACTAAGCAAAGTATATATGTGCGATGCTATCTAAACATGCATGCTGTTGATTTCATATTTTTGTACTTTTTTGGGGGTGGCTGCTTGATTTGTGCAGCCGGGGAATGAATCCTCTCGCTTCTCATTGGCAACGTCAAAATGTGGAAGGCGTCAACTCTCTTGCCAGTGAACCTTGTCTTGAAAGGTATCTATTGATATCTATTGTATTTATACTTTTAAACTGAGTAGGTTGAGTTTTGCATTTGAGACTCGGAAAATTGTCTCACCATGGTGTGGAGTTTCGGCCACAAAGTCCACCATCGAGGCTAACCTGGGCCCTTGACGCCAGTTTCGCTGGAAAATCCCCCAGCTGGGGACCTTGTTGAGGAAGGATTCAAAGGCCTGCTTCAACGCCAGCTGAAAGTCCTGTCGAAGGTGCAACAAAAGCTGGTTAAGTGATTGAGCGACTCCACAACTTGGCTGCAATAGAGATCTAGTGACGTCGCGACGTGAGGTCGTGAATTAGTTTGTCCAGATATGATATGAGATGAGATGATATGATATCATATGATATGATGTGACGTGATGTGTATATATGTATATGTATGTATGTATGTATATATATATATATACACATATGTTTATTCATATATATATATACAAATACAGTGTATATATGTGTCTGCGAATCCAATCATAATCATGTGGAAATCAATCAAATGGAGCTGCTTGATGATTGAGCCAATCATAGAACCAACGCTAGTGGGCATACATCTGTGAAATCATGTTCTATATGTACAGTACCGTGGGTATGTGTATATATATATATATATAGCTATGTCAAGAATGGTGCGCCATTGCAAATGTGATTGGATTATATTGAATTCACTATGCGGAGGTATGTCTTATGATACACAGCAATGTATGTGTAACAATGGGTCAACCAGGTTCCAAGATCAGCTAGTGCCGCAGGTCAGCACCTTGCTTTCTTTGAAGGATTCCTTGACAAATCGGTCAAACCTTAGCCCGCAGCGCCCAGCACTGCTGGGTAACAGGGGTACCTTAAATGATCACTTCAATCATCTTCAATCCCATTGAATCCCGAGGAGGTGACTTCTGCTTCAGACTGAGGATGGCTGTGATGAAACTCACGGGGTCTTTGACCTTCTCTGGATCGTTCAGGACTTCTCGTCCTGCTTCGCACATGCAATCCATCATCACCTGCAGGGCCGCAACTCCCAGGTTTGTGACACCCTGATGCTTGCAACCACTCTGTGGACAACTACCCATTTTGAAGTTTAATATGTCAACTGCTGGTTGATTCATATCCTAATCTTTCACAATTAAGTTATCACTCTTTGTGATTATCTATGTTTGATGATTGATATCCCCCTCTTTGATTCTTGAAGTTCCACTCATGCGGGTTGATTTCGAAGTCCCATTCTCTCTGGCTAATTTCAAATCTTATGCCCGGTTAATATCCCTATCTTTGCATCTTCAATCCACATTTGGCGCGCAGTCTCCACATTCCCAGTTAAAATCCACGTTTATAGTCATGAATTCCTCATTGTCTGTTGCGTGTTCACATGATATCCCTTTACAGTGAATCCACTTTGTGTAAACAATAGGAAGATCCTTATTATAAAGAATAGGAAAATCCTTATTTGTGTAAAATATATATCAGAAGAAATCAATCCATGCAATCCCATCCAAAGATAGTCAATTCCACTTCTACTATCCACAAAATGGTTCAAACAACCCAAAAAAGATGCAGGTTTTAGTACAATCCAATTTTTAAAAAAATGCAAAAAAAATGTGTAAGTCTTGTTCTTTTCTACATCTTGTTTCGGGTTTTACCATGAAAGTGTCCCATCCGCCTTTTGAATCTCCTTCAAGGAAATCGGCACGCGGCTGAAGAGGAGATACATCCTTTCCGCCGACGACGTCGCAGCAGATTTTCACCGGAAATGTGGCGGAAATTTCACCAATAAAATGAAGATTTAAGCACAGTTAAGCATCAGAACTGGGGTGTTTAAACATCGAAAAATTACGGAGTTCACCAACAAACAAGGGATTTAGGGGGTATCCCAGAAACAAACAGACATAAATATGCAATACTGGTATATATATATATATTATATTAATCATATTTACCATTATAAACCAGCAATCATGAGGATCCATAGGAATTTTAGCCAATAAATATGGGTGCAGACCGGAAAATTGGGTATGTTTTTTCCCCCCATTTATGGCCAAGTTCACAGGGAAAATGATGAGCAAGCATCACATTTGGGGATACCAACGGGACGGGACCCCATTCTACGTGGAATTCTAGGGGATAAGCACTATATCATTATGGGGTATCCACAGAGAGTGTAACCACCAAGCTAGCCCAAACGCCGTTGGTCGATTTTTTGGATGTTCAGGATACATATATATGTATGTGTATATGAATATATATATATATATCAGGATATGTGTATATATATATATATCAGGATATGTATATATATACATACATAGTGTATGTAATTATATATATAATATTATTACTGTTAACCGGGGAGGCACCACTCTAAAGGTTCATTCTAAAAGAACACCTGCAATGCAAGTGAAAGGCAGGCCTCCTGCGACAGGGTGTAGACCTAAAAATTTGGGTGTTATCCCGAAAATGATGAATCGGTCGATGTAGGAGTACTCGGGTACCCTATCAGACAAACTTATATAATATTATGTATATAATATATATATATATTACTATATAATATATAATATATATTATATATATTATATATATTATATATTATATATAATATTATATAATATAATATAATATAATATAATATTATATATATATATTATTATAATATATATATATATGTGTATTCACGGTGAACCATGCACAAAATCATCGGATCAAGACTCGCCGGATCTGAGATTCACCATCCCCGGATCCCGTCACAGATCGGGAATCCCAGTGGAATGGTCATGATGCCATGATTTTTTTGGGGGGAAACATAGAAAAGATTCGAAACCACCAACCAGTTTTATGATGTTTTTTTTTATGTCCATCAGATTCGAAACTTCCCAACATGACCCCAGCTGACGGCAGACTGCCTTTCGAGATCCTCAATCTTGTCGCATTGGAACATCCACGCACACCTGCATCATTTTTTTTTCGCCAGGATCAGCACAAAAAAAAAGTTGAAAATCGAAAATCTGTCCATGGTAAAAACAATCCGGAATTAACCCCTTTTTTTTGCATATAGCCTCATACCCCCACTTTTTGCAAGTGGAACTGGGTGGAGTCCCAAATCTTGTCACCTGGCACCCCTCTTTTTACCCCTGGGCAGCCAGTCCCAGAGTTCTCCATGTGGATCAGGGTCTTGTAGTGGACAGAGATCCATTCTTCATCACACAACTCCTGGCGGTGACAGGAGATGTCGTTTTGCCTCAGCTCTACCAATGGCCTGCTGGTTTCAAATGGTTGGATTCCTGGTGATGCCCTGCAGTGCTGGTTAAAGCCTCAGCATCCCAATCTTTGTGTATCAACTCCAAACTTCTTGGAGGGTAAAATCATGTAAAATCCCAATGTTCGCTGGTTAAGTCCCGATTGTCTACTGCGTTAAATCCAGATCTCCCTTGAAAACGAGGAGGAGATATCCAATCCCAATCGGAGCCTCGATCTTCTCCATTGTGGATTCGTGCAAATAGTTCTCCACCTTTTTGGGCAAAGGGGCTTTGCGCAAACTGTGGATTTAAAAAAGAGTGATTTAGGCCGATTTAGGCCATAAATATGAAGCATTAAGCCAAAAGAAAGTGGGGTTCAACTTTCAACCAACAAATTGGCACTTAAGGAAGAACGGGATTTAAACTTAGCTGATTTCGCCAATAAACATGTGGATTTTACCAACAAAATATATGGATGTATCATCAAGAAAAATGGCCAGAAGGATTACTTCCATGAATTTTGGGGCGTGGCTATAGCTTTGACCCCCGATATCGCTCCATGTATGAACATGTGAAATCATCTAATAGGAGAAAGGATGATTTTCACCACTGGATTTAATCCATAATTTCGGTGGTTCCACGTGTTTCCTCCAAAAAAACACTGACTTTTATATGGGGGTTGTATGATTTATATATTGTTGTTATATATATGGTTATATGATCTATATGATATTCCTATAATTATCTATGATTATATTGTTATAAATATGGATAAACCACGGATCCCCACAGTGGGATGCACATCCCAAGCCCAACTCCCAGCTCTGGGCTGCGTCGACCCGCGCTTTTTCCTCTCGAATTCTCTTCTCCGCCTGGTGGCACGACGTGGCGGCTGGCGGCGACGGCGCCGCCAAAGGGGGAAGGCAGTGAAACAACCAAATGTATAGAAGGTACAAGTATAAAATACATGTCATATATGATTATATAAAGTGTATGTATGTGTATATATATATGATATGATACATATATATATATGTGTATATATATATATATGATTATATATGTATATATATATATATATATGTATATATGATAATATATACATATATGTTGGTTATGTTTCTTGTTGGCAACCCTCCAAAAAAACAGTTGCAAAAGGATGTAGGAGGTTCCTCTAATAACGCAGCATGCTTTGAACCAGGACCTTTGGGGATGCCAGGCCAATCGGGCACTGCTCATTTAGGAAAAATGAGTCTAAGTCAAGCCCCTGGTCTCTTGGTTTTCACAGAAAATACCTGAAAATACCTTGTAAATAGGTCTTCATCCACCCAGTCACATGGAAAATCATAGCTTTGACCCCTCGACCATCCATCTTGACCTTCAGTCCCCCCTACTCGGCCCCCACTCCTTAGTGATGCATCAAATGGCGTCAGAAACGTGGTAAAATGTGGTCCCTAATTGATACTCTCCTGAAAACACACATGTTTTTTTGCCACTTGGAGTTCCTTTTTTTCAGATTCCATGGGAAATTTAACAACCTGTCCAGCTTAAACCGGGCGCACGCGAAAAACAGAGCCTTCTTCAGATAGTCGGAGCAGGGGTTCTGAGAGATGTACTGCTTGGACTCATCCTGCGATGCCAATTGGGTATGGCTCAAATGGGCAAAAATGAGCGCAGAAAATATCAAGAAAAAGGTGGAACAAATCATTTTGGACAAAAAAACCTGGGCATTGGCTTCAACTCCCCTATGAGATATCTTGGATCGTCGTCGTCGTCGTCGTCGTCATCATCCCATGATAAGGGGAAACAACGACATGTTCAAACCATCCCAGGAAGTTAACCTGTATAGTCTTCCAGGTCCAACAGGAGCTCGTTCAGCACTCTGCAAATTGGATTAAGTTGGGTCATGGGGTGATAGGTCCAAACTCAAGGCTCTTGGAGTGACGTTGGTCATGTCTTAGTTATGTAGGTATAATGGCAATAGTAAAGCAATAGGATCCACCATCCCCAATGAGTTGCCAGGTGTGCTTCAGAATTCCTGTCCCTCCATCATGTCCGGTGGATCTGAGTGTCCCCTCCACAGGAATTCTTGGGACCCCAGAATGTTCCGACAAACCCATGTGCCATCCATGTGATGTTACCTGATGCCACCTACAAAAAATTGCGGATTCCAGAATCATAACAGATTCTGTGGTCCCCTTCAGGGGTACACATTTGCGGTCAAACTTGTCCATGCCTGGGCAAGTTTACACGACATACCCCGTCTTTTTGTGGTGCCGATTCGCCGAAGAAATCAGTGACACCCCAATGAGGCGCACAAAACCGCCTGATAGAACTTCCGGGTATGGTCCAAGAACGGATCTTCGAAGCATTCTCTGTAGACCTCGACAGTCCGGAGAACCAGGACCATGGCGCCATGGCGCCATGGTCAGTGACCAGCCAGATGCAGAAAAGTAACATCTGAATCTGAAATAGCGATGAAAGACTTCTCTGCATTTTTTTGGGGGGGGTTTGACTACAGCATAATGATTATCATGATAATCCTCCGGATGCACAAAAAAAACAGTTCACTTTGATTTTGATAACTCCCGAACTAATCCTCAATCAAACATTTACCCAGAAAAATTGGATGATGTAAGATACAAAATTGCTGACCAAGAGCAATGTGGGTTTATTCAATTGGTACCCCAATTTCCAGCCTCTCTGGCTGCTGAGGAGAAATCTTGATCAGAGAAATCCACATGTTTGAAGGCAACATTTTGCCCACTGAGCTTTTCGGCTCAACCCTGGCCCCTGCTCAATACCCAGTCTAGCATCTCAAACGTGTATGGCTCAAAAGTGAGTACCCCCTAAAAATCCCCAAAAATAGATAAAAATCGACAACTCGATCCAGCTGAACAGCTGGTTCTCCACCTCAATTTTCGCCCAGCAACATTTTTGCCCTGCACACCTAGCTCCACGAGCATGTTCAGCGTGTGCTTCAAAAGGATCCGGTCCACCTCTGCGGCGGCTCCATGGTCCATGGCCCGCCTTCGATTTGGGGGAAAACAACGCTGGGGTTGTCCAAAAATTTAGGGGAAAACCATGGAAAAAAAAAAGCAATGGTTTATCATCACATGTCCAGACAGTTCCTATTAAAGCTGCTGCTTGATGGGCATGCAGTGAATGAACTAGCAACTTAAACCGAATGTGTTTTGAAAATATGGATGAAATTGGATGAACTTAACATACCTTGAGCATCAGAAATGGGGATTGATCATAAATTGACCAGCCAAATTTTGCGATGAATTTGGGGTTCCCAAGAGTTCAAGCCTTTCCTGGTCGACCCTCTGGCAATCTTACACGGCAATAGAAATTCGCGGTTTCAGTAGGTAAATCATCGAAGCAAATGGTGGATTTCCCAGCCAGCCATGTATGGTGTCGGGGGGTAACCATCTAGGGACTGGGGAAACCATCATGCCCCAAGGGCCTGGACAAAGGCCCTGGACAGAAAACATGCTCCGCACAAATCACCAAGGGCACGACCAAAGTGATTTGATGGCCGGTGGAGTGGCACTGAAAGTGTGTTTGGTTTCCCCGCCATTGCGAATTTTAAGGGGGAAAATGATGATCAACGATGGTATTTTGGAGCTGTCCTCTAGTTATTTCACATAGCTATGGAAATCCCATCTTTACCTATTTAAAAATAATGATTTATGATGAGTTAGCAATAAAAAATGGCGATTTCACCGACCCAGTGGCCCGGTGTTTCTGCGCTTTTGTTCGGTGGCCCAGTTTCGGCCTGTTCTCCGCGACGTTCCGCAGTGATGTTGTCCAGGAGAAGGGTCAACAAGTGGGACTTCACCCGAGGATGGCCAGAGACCTGGTGGGGTTGGGATTTCAGAGAGATGTTCCCCCCAAAAAAATGGAAGGTTTCACCGAACCAGTAGGGGAACCTAAATAGCTGGTTCATGGATGTTTAGTTTGTATCACCAACTATGGGGAATAATAGGTTTTGACCCATCCCCAGCAGAAAATCATGGCTGAAACTCGTGGATTCTTTGGGTGGGGAAAAATGAGCGTTGAAAATCCAAGGGGAAGTTGGCCCTTGGAAAGGGTCTGGGTCAAAAAATGACGTAGCAATGCACGCACGAGTTGGTGAGAAATTCACTAGGACCTTCTCGTACCCTTATGTTAAATAACTATGGAAGTCATGGCCCATAATAAAGCCCTTAGGTTTATGTTAAGTTCACCATTATAACAATCACCATTGACCTCTTATTTAATGGTGTTTGTTTCAGTTCGCAAACCGTTCAACAACGGGTTCACATCATTTGTTGGGATCAGCATCCAATGTTTCCAAAAAAGGTGTGTGTAACACGGCTCAAGACTGGCAAAACATGGTGGTAATTTGTGGTTCATAATGTCATCTTAGAAAAGCATCGTAATTTCTGAAATAAATTGATATGGTATATCAAATGGCTTAGAATTTATAATTACCCGCTGGATCCCTCTGGTAATCAAACAGAACAATGGAAAAATCCCCCTTTTGTTCGATGAGTTCCCCTTCAAACCTCCGTTTTGCTGTGGGATGTCCCATATTTTTCCGCCCCACCTTCTCCCGGAAAATCACCAAGCCCATCTCGTAGACGGGTACCTGGGAGCACAAAATCGATGATCGACACATCCATTGTGAATGACCAACACACAAATTCAATGGCCATTCCAGGATATACACCCAAAATATGGCCAAAAATATGGTACGAACGTAGCTCCATTTTAGGATCCTGGAATTCCGATTGACAAATACACACGACATCTATTTCAATGTGTCGAATCATGACCGGGACCTTCTTGTACTGCGTCACAAAGTTTCTGTCCATGTACATCAGAATGTCTCGGATCATGACCTGGGTCCAAGGGATCCATAGGGATCCAAGGGACCGGCCTGGGATCCGATGTTTGTCATCTGGATGGAGGATAAGAGCCCGTTTCAGGTGGTTTGTTTTCCCGCATGCTACCCTTCTCCATTTTGAGATTGAGAAATGTTGACCAAGTCCAAAACGAGAGTCACCCTAGGGTCGGAGGCTATAGATGGAACGTACAGAAGCATCAGTGGACCCACAAATTTGCCAATTGATTGTACCATACCAGTCACCCAGTCACATCCAGTTACCATCCTTCCAACAGTCGGACCCTGCCAAGTCGCTAGAAAGTGTCTATTTTCAGGCTCCATCTTTGGGGGATAGTAACGGATAGTACATTCACATGGCCATCCAAGCACCCCAGCCATGGTTGTCTTGTGGTCATCCCACTGCTTCTTCCTCGAGATTTCAAGGCCACTTGGAAGATTTTGCAATTCGGAAAGCCTTTTGGAATCGCAGTACTCTGCTCGCAGTGGGCAGTAATCTTCAAAATCCTCATCAAATATTTCAATACATCTTTCTGAGGTATCAAAGAAGAATCAAGAAAATTGCTGGGACTCCTCTTTCCCAGAATTGGTTCAAGGGAAAGTCTTCGGCTCGGCTGAACCCCCGATCCAGTACAATTTGTTGATCTTTTTACATCCCACTCTATCTGGATTACCATGTTAAATAATCATTTTTAATGGGTAAACCATCTATAAATGGGCCATTTTCCATGGCGATGTTAAATTACCAGAGGGTAACTATAATTATTCACTAACCTGAAATAAGAACATGTTGGGATAGTTACCTCTACTAACCATCACTTCAGTGACGTCGCAGTGAGGTCACTAGATTGTATCCCAAGTATGTCCCCGTTTTCGTTGCATTCACCCTCTGGTAAACTAACATAGCTATTGAAAATGGCCATAGAAATAGTTGATTTACCCAATAAAAATGGGTCATGTTCCGTAGTTTTTTGTATGTTTACCAGAGGGTAGTTCGCCCATTTTCATATTTCAATCCGGCTGCACCGCCGAGGACGGGACAGTTCATCTAGCAGACGATCATCGGGACCTGAGAAGATGAAAAGGACGGTGATGGTCATCTTGGGGACGAATGGTATGATGTTAGGATCTCTCCATGTGTATGCGCACAAATACATTCGATTGTGTGTGTGTATGTGCCGTTATGTTTTGAATATCATTATCATTATTATCATTATTAGTTTTATCATTCTTGTCATTATCATTATTATCACTATTCTCATTGTTATCATGTTTATTCCTGCTCCTATTGTGGTTGCTATCATGTTTATTTCTGTTGTTATTGCCACATCATGCTTATTTATTGCACTGTTATTGTTATCATTATGATTAATAGATGATAAAATATATATATATATATATCCACATCATAAAAATACAATATATATATATATATGCATTACAGTATGTCCACCCTTCATGTCCCTTGGGTGGACCACCATTCATGCATGCACTCCCAGGTTTGGAGAAAACATATATGTATATATAATTATATATATTGTGTGTGTGTGTGTCGGACATTCAAAAAAAAGTCATGCCTGCACTCGTCATGTTCAAATAAAGACCTGCACTGCGTCTAGACCTGGCGGCAAGCTGCTTCCACCCTGTATTTTGATCAGCGAACTTTTGCCCAATCAAAGGGCGATATTTTATCTTAAAGTTACCCTGGGGCAAGCATACAAAAGATCTGGAAAACCCAGGGAGCCCAAGGAAAATGATCTACTTTCATGGTGGATTTTCCACATCTATTTTAGTTTACAGGATGGTAAACATACATTGAAATTTCCAATTTTCAGACAGACCACGACAGACCCACATTCATTGGGAAGGATCTCACAAAATCCTTCAGCTTGGTGCCACACCACGTCTGGATACGTCTCGCCCCAGACATGGCTGGGGAGTGGTTTAAGCCCTGTCTTCATATTCTTTCGGTGGCAATTGTGACATGTCCCGGCATCAAAGCATCAAACAGAAAACTGTGTGTGGTGTGTGTGTGTGTATATATATATATATACATATTATCATATAACCATACATGTCGTAAACCCAATAGTAAACAATATTACATAATATTACCATAAATGGCTGAGATTGAAATATTTGAAATGATCAAAAAACTCCCTCGAGTTGGCACTTTAGAAACACTTGGCCCACATATCATATACACATGGAGGTGTCCAATCCATGGGGATGCCCAAATTTATCATTGGGCCATCACCTTTTCGACGCCGAGCCCCCGGACACTCGATACAACTTTGTGCCACGCCCTTCAAATGATCCGCCACAACGCCCTGGCTCCATATGCTGCATCTTTGAAAGCTGTCAATTATCAAATCTGTTGATCCACAGATTCATATCTATACCTGAAACTTATAACAGTATACAAGGGTGTTTCAGTACACTACAGCATTGGGAGGAAAACCAACAAGTTTCCCTGCCCTTCGTAGAATCTCCTAGATCTAAAGTTGCATTCATTGCAAGGTGCACGAACCAACTTTGGTCACGAGCTGCTTCCAGTCAGGACTCTTTTTTTCTGTTGTGGGAGCTGTTGCCACAGATTCTTCATCCATGAATCTTAATTTCAAGTTGAAAGCACCAACTTTGGATGTGGCTAAATTTTGGCTGTGCCATTCGCTATTGTACACAATCACAAAGCCGAGACCAGTCTCAACTCAGAAGCACGCTTGCTGTCTGCGGAGCACACAGCACCCATGTTGCACCTGGTTCTGGTCTCGAATTCAACCTTAATTTGCAGCTCACCCGATGCTGATGCGCACACGTGCGGGGCTGGCCACCTGGCTTTCGAGCTTCGCCTCCTTGGCCTCCTCCGTGCAAATGCGCTTGGCCGGAGGCTCCAAGTCCTCTGTGGCCTCAGCGGTAGCTGCCACAGCCTCGGAGGCTTCAGCTTTTGCCTCAGCCTTGGCTGCTTCCTTCTCCTTCTCCTCGGCTGCTTCCTTCGCAGCCTCCATGGCCTTCTCAACGGCCGCCTTGGCTGCGTCCACCAGGCGATTCAAAGCAGCGGAAGCCTCCTCGAGAGTCTTCGCCTTGTTCTCTTCGGTCTCCATCTTCTTGGTGAGTCCTTGGAGCTCCTTGGAATGCTTCGCAAGCTGCTGCTTGCAGGTCTTCATCTCCGCCGCGTAGCCCTTGACGGCAACTTCCACCTGCTTGTGCTGCTCCTCTGCAGCTGTTGCCTTCTGCTGGCAGATGTCAACAAGTGCCGCAAGGCCCAACAACTCCGCCTGCACCGCCCTCTCAGCAGGTGCTCGCTCAGCCAACTTCTCCTCAACCTGCTTCAACTTGGCGCGGAGCTCCTCTGTGATGCTATCAATGGCCATCTTGTCAAAGTCACCTCGCACTTCCGGCTTAGTCATGAGGCCATCAGCGGCGGCCACCAAGGTCTTCTCAGTCCCAATCTCCTGTAGGTATTCCTTGAGTGTCGCAAGCTTCTCCTTCCTCTCCTCCGTGCTTGTCCAAGAGCCGTTCAGCAGGCAGCAAAATGCACCCTCATCAATCGCAACATTCTTGCTCTTGGCCTCCCGAAGCTTTTCACCCATGAGGATGTCATCATGATTCTCGTTCTTGACCTTCTTCTTCTCATCCTTTGCAGCCTGCAGCTGTTCTTGAGTTTCAATCAGAGTGTTCACCTTGACTTCCAGCTGGGACACTCCCTGACGTTGAGACTCCTTCACTTGCTCCAGGGCTGCCTCTGCCTGCTGCACCTGCTGACGCGCAGCCTCCATATCAGTCTGAATGGCGGCCTTTGCCTCGGTCGTCTGCGTAGACAGACCTGTCAGCTGACAACTGATCACCTGGAAAACATCCTCCTGGGCCAAGGCTTCAGAGTACTTGAAGTCTGGGAGAACTGCCACTACCTTCTGGGCATCGGACGTACAGCTGGTCTCAACAGCCATGGGATTGGAAGGTGACGAGCGGCCGAGCTTCAAGACGTTTGGAGTCGGGACAGCTTGAGGCGGGTCGAGCGGCCAGCTTAGCGAGCTTGGCACTGATGAATCTGATGCGACTAGTTGGTCTACCATGGTCATCAATCAGTCCCTCAAACTACGGCCAAGTTCAAAATTGACAAACTGCACTGCACTGCACTGCACTGCACTGCACGGTTGGAATCATTTGCAAAACATGTTCCACTGCTCAGCCCGGCTCAGCCCTTTCCCAACCTGCACGCCGTTGTAAAGTAGCTCCCCATACCTCGTCGGCATCTTGCGGCCCCATTTCACTATCGTTATTGAGAAAATCACCGGCATGCTTTCACTCTAAATGCAATTGACCATGTGGGGGGTTGTGATCCAAATTCATCAACAAGGGCATTGTATCCCTCGAGTTCCGTTGGGTTTGACAATAAAAATGACCAGTCGTGCACAGCTGCAGCACCAAGGGGCTTGTGCAAGACCAAGTTGTAAGCATTTCGGTACAGCTCCTCCGGTGAGGCTCGTGGATCATCTCCCACAGTGGGAGGTCAAAATTCTCCAAAAGGGCGCTGAGGTTTGGCTACTTTTATCTCAAAGTTCCAGGGCCGAGTGAATTTTGTGCCAAGATAAGACTTGTTTCATTGGTTGTTTAATTACTGTAGGCATTTGGGATCGGCACTGCAAACCTATGAACCACTTCAACTTGGACTCAGCCGAACTCACGGATCGCTGAAGGCAAGGGTCACCTGGGGGTAGCGTGTGGGATCTGCGCTCCAAGATGCTCTTTGAGGGGACGCTGAGAGCTCTTTGACTCCAAACCAATAAAAAAGTGGATCATCTGGCTATGAACTTTACTATGAACCAAGTACCCATCCATTTGCAATCTATCTTGGCAGGATTTGAGCTTATTCCAACCATCCAATTCTGGGGTGTCAATACTAGCCACAGCTATGACTTTCCCCGCAAACAGTGTCCAAAATTAGGGCACGATGCCCCACCATGGCAATTTCAACGGTGAAATTGAGGATAAAACCTGATATATCAATATATCAATATCAATATATATATATATATATATACTACTACACAGTGTATATTATTTATATATATATACCATCTAAATCTTGGGACACCCCATTTCGGACAAGCCCATTTGCCAGATTCGTCATAAGGCCATCGACCCATCGGCCATCGGCTCGGCCATCGGCTCCTCAAAGGACAAGGAGGAGGCATTGTGCTCATGGATCTGATGAATGGCATGCTTCAAGCATTCCCACCTAGCAGATCCAAGGGATCCAAGGGATCCAGCAGGTCGAAAATGGGGGCCGGGCATAGCTAGCCAACATCCAAAGTTGCTTACTAAGCATCGGCAATGGTTTGGGGTAGCCATATTTCTGGGAAACCTCTCTAAAATCGATCCATCCTCAATCTCCAGTGTGGCGGTGCTGCACATTTGGAAGGGATCTCGACTGAAACTGCTAATGCTACAACGTTTCGGCAGGATTTGACATCAACATTCCGTATTGCACCAACATTGTGCTTCGAAAGAAGCGCGGCTGGATCCAAAGACGTCTTGGGGCCGTTGGGGCTAAGGGTTGGTCAGTTTCTAGGGAAGGCGGTTTCGCAAACAGCAGAAGTCAACAAAAGTACAACTCTGGTTTTTCAATGTCCATATGAGCAGTGTTCAAAATCCCTCCATCATTCCATTTAATCCCGGTTGGTTAAGAACGGGATTCCCTTCTTGGATTCCTATATATAATCCCCAATATATTGGGTAGTATAATCCCCTATAAATGTCCATATTGGTTAAACCCAAAATGTTAAAGGCTCATCCACTGCAGCCAAAGATAAACCGACAGCATCACGTTCGATTGGACTCCTGCCAGCAACATGAGAATGGCTTCATCCAGGAAGGAGGGCTTGCCATCAACTGGATGTTGATTATATCAGTTTTGTAAGCCATTTAAAAACGGTGAAATTTTATATACCCCCAAAATATTGCCGCTTGAATGAGGAAAGTGATGATTGTATAAGTCTGATTAAGCGTAAAAGAATTAAGACAAACCCGTATGGTATGATTGCGAATCAGGAACAATTGGACTGACTCACGTAAACTCACACAATGAAAATCCGACAGAATGTGATGCGTTGGATGTATTTAGAGAATGATAGTGGTGTCACCTCACGTGCTTAGACCAGTAATGGAGTACAAGATATGTTGCAGAACGTCATGTGGAACAAGTGCCTCTATATGTGTACATGCATCTGAGACTTGCAAATACACATACATATGCTTCGCGACATAAACAAGAATGCACCGCCGTGTCAGTTTGTTGTAATTCCGTACTTGGTCCTTGTCTAGCTGGAAATATACAGCCAAAGGTTCTTTCTAGTCACAGATTTCGATGATTCAACCTCTAGCCTTACCTCATCACTCAAAATCATCGCCCACAACTATTGCATACTCATAGCTGTCACAACTCAGAACTCATGCAACATCCAGAAATTCAGAAAGTCTATGTTCGGAGCCAGTGTTCAACTAGGACTGGGTCCTGTTTTTGTCGTATCTGAGAACAAAGTGAGGAACTTCCCAAACCTCTCTAGTGGATTGTTTGATCGATTGTTTCCACTAGCGATTGAACAAAATCCCACACTAAAATTCGATAATGTCCCAAATGGGTCTGAAAATGGTTTGTATACTTGGGGGACATCCCGCTTTGTAAATGGGTTATACCCCCAGTTATATATGGAATATTCCCACATATATGCAATTTTATTATATTATATTATATTATACTATATTACATTACATTATATTATATTATATTATATTATATTGTATTGTATTATATTATATATTGTAATATGATATAATATAATATAATATATCAAATTACATTATATTATACTATATTTCATTATATTGTATTATATTGTATTATATCATATTGTATCATATCATATCATAGTATATTATGTTTTATTATATGATATGTTATATTATACTATATTATATTATGTAGTTATATAATATTATTATATATTATTTTATAGTATATATATATATGGATTAATATATGGATTATAACCACTTGTATACTATATACGTGGGATGCACATCCACCTGCCCATCAGCCATGGCTTCAGCTGCCAGGCTCCTTCTCATCCATTGGGTCACCCGAGCGAAACTGTCGGATGCTGGGTGCACCTGGTGTGGAGAGAAGCCAACGACTCAACAGTTGTAGTCAATCCCAACAAATGTCATGGGGAAACAGGGAAAACACTGGAAAAAAAATGCCAGAATGATGATGATGATGATGATGATGATGATGATGATGATGAGGATGAGGATGAGGATGAGGAGGAGGAGGAGGATGGTACCAGTAAGAATAATAATAAATAATAATAATAAAGAAAAATCAGGATTGCATAGACAAAAATGGTGATATTGTAAGACAAACTATCACCATCAATGGCACTTTCCAACTGGTGTCATCATTAATACGGACTTCACAGCCACAATTTTCGATGGTATCATTTCTGGTGATGCAGATGAAGACTCTTGGAAGGAAGGCCCATTTTCCGTAGCTGTTAGATTACCAAAGGGAAATTCGTCCCGACCCTGTACTGATCACTGACAGATTCTCAATCCAGTACGACTAAACTCGGGGATTGTTGCAGGACCCAGGGCGAAAGATGCATTGCATAAAGCCGTGCGGCCGTACCATGCAGTTTCACCCCCAAATTCAACATGCAAAATCACATCTCCAAATTCTCAGAGGACTGAAATCATACCCACTTCCCACCAGCAAGTTCAGGGTACCCACTTTAGTGCTCACGTACAAAAAAAAGATTTAAAAAATACGGCAGCACCTGCCGTTTCAGTTTTTTCTGTAATTGAGTTTTCCCCACAAGGGTTAACAACCAAAAATTATATGTTTATCAATAACTTTTGGCCATTTCCAGGTTTTTTCTATAATTCTGTCGGAGACTTTTGCTTGTTTCTATCATTCATAATTATTGCCTCTGTATTTTGGGTAAACCCTGCCAAATTCCCCCAGAATCTTAGCCGCCGACTGAATTATAGAAAAAACATAATTATAGGAAAAAAAAAAAGTTAACGCATCTAATCTCTTTTTTTTCCGTCAGCTGCGGTATTTTTCTGTCCTTTTTTGTATCCATAATTCTGCCGGCAGTTGTATCTCAAAAATCGCAAAATATGAAAGGCAATTGTGATCAGCGCCCCATTTCTAGGGTCGAAGAAAAGCGAAACCACCAATCCGTTGCCTCCAGGGATGGTTCTCCCAAGTTCGTTGCATACAACTGTCGATTACTGTACGGACAGGTGTATACATATATGATACTAGTGTCATACATGCACACATACATGAATGTATACAATGTATACGGGATACACTCATGTGTACCGGTATACACAGATTATAACTTGTGCATCTCCCCAGCATGACGTTGTATTTCAAGCCAACCCTCGGGTGGTGATTTCTCCAAAACTCGCAACGGAACTGCGAAAACGGAGAACTGCGCCTGGTTTCTTTCCTCCAAGGCTCATGGCGATGGAACCTGGGCTGTCAGTCCATTTGATCCTGGTTATCCTGGTTGGTTTAAGAACGGAAGTCCAGTGATTATGATTCATGACAATCCCCAATAAAGGGTAGGTTACAGTAATAATAAAAATGATTGATAATAGTGGTAATAACAATAGTAATAATTTGAAATAATAATAATCATCATCATCATAATCATCATCATCATCATCATCACCAACATCATTATCGTCGTCGTCGTCCTCCTCCTCATCATCATCATCATCACCAACATCATAATCGTCGTCGTCGTCCTCGTCCTCGCCGTCATCGTCATCATCATCATCATCATCATCATCATCATCATCATCACAATAATGATGTTAATAACCCCTGAACAAATGAACCACCTGGGGTGTAGAACGCAGCCACTGCTCCGTCCTAAAATATCTCAAATGGGGGATACCCCATTTTGGCAATCTTGATGGGAAAAACGATTTTTAAAACCACTGGATTGGGTCTCAAATCCCAAAACAAACTCCAATGACCACCCCTGGTGGCTTTGGGAAGTTTGGAGGATCCACTTCGCAGAGTTTCCCTGAGTGCCAAGCGCGCAAGGGCGCTCAGGTGAAGTCGCGGCTCCCCAGAGTGGCTGTGTCTAAGGCTGTTTCTACAAGTGCGGGTAAGAAATCATGGGAAAATGGTGTAAGAAATCATGAAAATGCTAGAATTTCAGCCAATTTGAGGGGATCCAATATCTGCTGAAGTATTCATTGCGGCTCCTTTTCAGATGGCCGCTTCTGAGAAATGTAACCTGTCGCTGCGGCAAAACACTATCTTTTGTCATCTCATTATAAGTATTCATAGGAATCCTGACAGCTGGAATGATTGGGTCTCTGATTTTCGCAGTGACGAAGGTCATGCTGCTGCTTCCAATGTCATGTTGTCCATGGTTGAAAAAATACCCGGCCGAAAGGGCGGCCGCCTCCAGCCAAGCGCAGTTAAGAAAAACGCGTGGGAAAGTCATATCTCTGTGCTTCCGAATGGCAATCCCGACATTTAGCAAAAGAAGCAGGAGTTTATCCCAAACTTGGGAATTATCTTAACCCATTCTTGGTATGAACAAAAAATCAGGGCCTGAAACCCACGAATTGACGTGCCATGCTTTGTATTATGTATTATAAGAATGGCATTGCGTGGAGCCCAAGTTGCTAAATATTTCGGTAACCATATGATGGTTTCGTACTCAAGCGTCAAGCCCTGCGGCCTCTTAGGTTTCAGAGAATCTGAAGTGGGTCGAAAGACTTCAAATTCCCGAAATATTCCTGCAGAATGATCGACCACACACATCATCCCTGGTCTTGGGCGTTCTCCAGTCGTGGTCTCTTCTTAAGCCTTCGTCAACCAGCCTGGATTGATGGAATTATGAATTATGCTTCACCAGGAGGGTGCTGTACAGTGCAGGGTCAAGAATTGATGCCCGACAAGTGTTGCCCTGTTTTACAACATCCCAAATCTTGAGGTAGTTACCAATTTTTTCGATGCCCACAGTTATGGCCCTTTACCAGTTGTAAGTCAGTTCTACCCCCCATTTATGGAATGATAACCCCATTTATAACCATTTATAATTGGAAAATACCAACATAACCCACATCAGCCAGACGACTTTCCGCGGTTCCACGACCTCTCCGCGATGCGGTTGGCGCCGCGACGCGCAGGCACTGTCACCCCGCAGTGCCAGCGGATCTTTTTGTCCAGCTGTGAGGTGTGAGGCACCACTTGCAACAAAACATGCATCAAAGTTGGCATCATGAGTTCGGTCCCAAGAAAACATTGAATTATATATGTATAGATTGTATAGATATATGAATAGATATAATGAATGTGGAATTGTGGATTTGTATCAGCACAGATACTATACTGGTTCCTTGTTGGTACCCCATTTTCTCCGCTCGGACAGCCCCCAACAGAACCAAGACCATGCCATCCGATGAGGGAAACCACACGCGCGACACGCGCACTGGAAGGACTGCTTGGAAAGTCAGCTTGCCCAACAATCAATGGTTGAATATATATATATATATATCATATTATATTATATATATATATATTCTATATATATATATTCTATATATATATATATTCTATACATTATATTATATTATATTATATTATATTATATTATAGTATATTATATTATAGTATATTATATTATAGTATATTATATTATATTATATTGTATTTATATATATATATTATTATTCTTATATTACATATATTATATTATATTATATATATATTATATTATATTATATTATATTATATTATATTATATATATATATATTATATATCATATTATATATATTATAATATATATATTATAATATATATATATGTATTATATTATATATTTTTTATATATTATATTGTATTATATATATATATTATGATATATATATATATGGTTGATATATGGCTAATACATGGTTGAATATATGGTTGATATTTGTTGGCTGAATATCTTGACCTGTCAGCTGCTTCGAATGACCTTCACAAGGTAGCCAGTGATTGCACCCCTCCCCTAGCGGATGGACCAACCTTCAGTTCCCCAGCAGAGTCATGGTCTTTGGCTCGTGATCGCAGTTGCAGCACATGAAGAAATGCTGTCCAGGTCTATTAAATAGCTAGTTGCTAGGTACTGGTGGTAACCACGCATGCAGGTAGACAGGAATGACGATGATGATTACTATTATTATTATGATGACGACAACTGTGACGGCGACGACGACGACGACGACGATGACGACGACGACCTCCATACACAAGGATCAAGCTAAGGCATTTAGTGAGGCAGCAGTATACCCCTTTGAAAGGCTGTCCCGTAAACCCTGAGGCTGTCAACGAGGCTCGCGTAGTTTTGAATCAACAGCCATGAACTCAGTCAGCCTTTGATCGACTCAAAGTCAGCCATGAACTTTCTGCAACTCGCTTTGATCGAATTAACTTCGAAACTAAGCGCATTGGTCAAACAAAAAACTACTCCTGCGCTTGGACTGATGATCCAACTCGAGTAAAAAAAGACAACTGCAGTTTTTCTGCGGACAACTGGGCCACCGTCAATAAGTCATCACCCAAGCATGGGAGACACGAAGCCAGTTGAGATCAAAACGCCTCGAAGAGCGTTTTGATGCTGTTTTTTTTCCTCAGGCGACATGACATGGCACGATGTGCAGCAGGGAGGTGTCACCAGGACCCAACTTGGGACCTGCCAACAAATCCACCGTTTTATGTTGGAGGTTCACAGGGTATCCCACAGCCAGTAGTGAAAATCCATTGGTTGAAGACCTTCGACCCTTAAAACATCCTCCAGGGTCATACAGGTCTCGCAAAAAATCATCATGTTCTGAAAGTATGCGGGCCAGCAACTTTTCAAATTATCTAACTATATTTGGGGACCCCATAATTAATATATATATAATTATATATATATATAATTATATATATGTATATAGAGATTGATAGATATATTGCTATATTATGATATATTCATAATAATGATGAATTATTCCGAATACTTAATAATTACTTATCGTTATTAATAAGAATACTCAACAAATTACATGTATGTATAATATATATATATATATTGATTTATTCATGTATTTATCTATTTATTCGTTGAGTTATTTATTTAAAATAGCGATATCTCTGTGCCGCAGATCCCACGTCCAAGTCATCCAAGGTTCTGTGGTTGCCTCGTTACCACCTGCTATGGCAGCTATGGAAAATTGCCATTGAGTTCCACCAAGTAGCTATTCAATGAATCTAAAAATGCTGATGGCCCAAAACTATATGTTTGTGAAAACCAGAGAAAATTCTCTGGAAAACACACAAAGTATTCGAAACCACCAAGCAGTTGTTGTATGTTGTTATAGGAAACGGCTTCTGTTCTATAGTTTCAAACCATCCACGAAACGTTTGTGTAGTCCTTTTTAATTTTGGGGGGTCAGAGTTGTCGTGCCAAAACACGGGACCGAAAACGACCAAGCAGCTTCCCAAACATCTTCCAAACTTTGAACCCCCCCATCCCCCTATGGGTTTGTCCAAGACTAGGCTACCATCACAATCTTTTGGATCCCCATCATCCCAGATTTTCCCCCGTTCTGGGCCCATGTCCATTGATGAATCCCCTATTGCAGACCCATTGAATCGCTAAGTCCGATGCTTAATGATCATTGTCCCACTCAATGTAACACAAATATCATAAATACATTATACATCAATATACATATAATATAGCATCACATATTATAGTAATAATACATTATAATATAGTATATCATACACAGATACACATTGAAATAGGAATTCTCCTTTTTACCAAGCTCACCCCGTCGACCTGCGCTGGCTGCGCACTCGGTGGTGAAACGACCGGGACCCGCGCACGTCCGAAGCCACCCTCGGTGGAGTTCTGCTGTGGATCTCTCCCTCTGTCATTCCATGAAATTCTGGTTGGTTTATAGGCATTTATAGGACTTCCCCTATCATTTGTAGGACTGCCCCTATCATTTATAGGAAATTCCCTATTGGATTATTTGATGATCCCCAATATTTTAGGAGGGTAGTACTAGTACAATCCCCGAATTTCATCAACCAACAGTGCTCATGTGGGTGAACTAAGTTAGGTTTATAGGGAGTATAACTACAATTCACGCAATTCATGGGGTTTATAAGACAACTATAACTGGGCGGCCTTACCTTGTAGACAAAACAATGCATGGTCGCATCGCGAGTTTTTTGGTTCAAATGGTCAACCATCCCATCCCATTGCAGAATCCAAACAAACTGGGTATATAAATCCCAATTCATGACCACATTTATCCAATTTTGCCATTTTTGAGGTTGTATGATGAAAACAGTGGTTGATGATGGTTTTTATGTCTTGTATGAATTGATTTTAAACCGCGCCCTTTTTCGTTACCCAATTTCCACCCATTTCCATATTCCAATTCGATGCATGACACGGTTCCCGACCACTGGATCCCAGATTGAAATAACTTAGAGCGCCCCATTGGAACGTTGCGTTCTGTGCACCGACCCATGGCTAAGCTGTCACCAACGTTTTATTTTTAGCAGGATATGATATTCTTATCGCTTGGGATGGGACAGAACCTACCATCTATTACCATCTTCGCACAGATTTTGGAGGGATGAAAATCCATTTGCCAGCTATTTTGCTTGTGAACAGCAGTGATAGCGCCTTTTCCAACCCTGCCATCGGAGCCAAGAGGCGCTTCCTTTGCGTTGCAACTTGGCAGGCCCCCCAAAGAGTAGCCGGTCCTGGATTCCAGCTGGCTGATAGAAATGTCCAATATATAGATATTATTTATTTATTTATATATATATGTCTATATTATACTAAGATTGATGCAAGTTTAGGGGAAATTGTCCATGGTTAAACGACTGGCCGTAATGAATCGTAATGAGTCATGAACCATTGATGCAAATACAACCTTTTCCTGTCGAAAGAAACTGTCAATGATGGAGGAATGGATGGGACCCAGGTACTTTGAAGGGTTGGATCGGATGCGTTACGTCCGCGGTGCTGCTGATTAGCAAGTCCCCTAGCCACATACAAACAGGTTATTTTTTATGGTTACTATCCAGTTACGATCCGTGGGATGATCCTCCTAGTACCGGCACTTTTCACCGAAACCAGGCATTCCAAACCCGCCCAAGTCATGTCCTCGTCCTCCTCTTGGGCCTCGCGCTTGGGGCCTCCTGATTTTCACGGTTTTTTGAGGCAGTTGCTCCAACAGAAGTCATCCTCGAGTGGTTTTCATCATGGGGCAGCGTTTACGAAGCCCAAAAAATGGGATGGTTTAAGTCAAATAACCAGTCCGTCAAATGATCCACGGGAGAATATTGATGTTCATGCGCGTAGATCCTAGAAGTGACCGACATCAAGTTCACCCACCTTTCAGGATATGACGCCCGTCACGGATGGGAGTTGCTGGGCGCCGATTCTGGACGTTCAACACCTCAGCTATGGGCCAAGTCAGCCAATTGAGCCAAGATGTGTTGGAACTGCTATCATCATATGTTGGACTGATTAGACTTTGGAAATGACCCACTGATGATTCGTCCTCATCATATTCTTGTGGGTCAAATTTGGATACCCAAGAATCTGCATGGATAAATGCTGTCTCCAAATTAAAACAGGTGGGGCCAGGGTTATCAAATCCTGGCCCATATTCCATATGTGCCAGCACATAAAGACTAGACATGACCAGCATTGTCACACATGCAAAGGACACGCTGCACATATATGTATGTGTATATAATATATACATGGACAAAGAAAGAGAGAGAAATGTGATTATGTGTCTGTGTTTGATGTCTTCCGTAGACTTTCAAGTAGAGTCACCTACTGCGAATTTGTTTCTTGATATGATGCAGAAAAAGTCGACAAAACTCATGTCCAGCGCTGCTTCGCAACATGTGCACCGGCCGACGGCGATGGGGGAGTTCCTCAGTAGCCGTCCCTGGACGCTCGATCATCCTTGGAGGGTCACCCCAGTAGTTGTTTAGTAGGATCATAACCCACATATCAAGGGGATAATATGGATAATCTGCAGAGAATCGACTGAGAACTGAGATCGGAGATCGGAGTAGCCCTTGTACAGAACCAGAATTTCCCAAGTCAGACTGGTTCAAAACAAGATGACTTGAAGCCTTGTTGAAGCGCCATCAAGACGATCATCCCAGCTGGGGTGCCCAAAATCCCATGATTTATCCGCTTGTGCCTGACATTGCCTGACTAAAATGCCAATTTTGAGGTATCCGCACATTTGGGGTCACCCAAATCCGTTCTGGCGTTAAATCCCTATTTTTGATGGTTAGATTCTTATCAAATGGCAGATCGGGTGTACTCCATCATTTTTGGTTCATGCTTAAATCATAAACAACGGGTGAAAAGCCGTCAGGTTTGATGGTTAAATCAGTGAAATCCAAGCAACCCCTGGGCATAGGCGTGTCGCGCGTGTCGCGCGTGTCGCTCCTGTGTGGAAGTAGTTTGTTTCCAAACGGGAAACCCATGGATTTCCAGAGCTATGGTGGGTTACTGGATATTGATGGGGATACTGATGAGGTACATTGACCAAAATAAGTTTTGATGGGGACTCTCAAACCAACAATCATGGGGAATTGCGAGGGGATCAAATGAGATATGGCCGAGAATATGATACGGAGCGGGTATACGACACAACAGAATAAAGATGTTTCTGAGCAAGTGTGTGTGTGTGTCAAAAGAATCTGGAGCAGGCATCTTCGCGAGTTTATTGTATTTTTTTTGATGGAAAATGATGCCTAAAAACACGGGGGTACGGCATCAGTCCGAGCCACTCCGTTCAACGTGTGGGATGGGACGCTCGGAGCGGGCCAAGTCCCATTTTCTTCGGCAGGGGACTTCCGCAAATTGAAAAATGATCTTCCACTACATCTGGACACAAATAACCATGCAGATGATATCGATGATATGTGGGGTTGTCTGAAAATAGGCTAGCAACCTCATGCTTTGGAACCTCATTTTCCTGTTCGAATATATATTAATATGGCATAATATGGCCACAAGTGAGCGGATCATTTTGCCATTTTCAGACATCCCCAAACCCAAATCCATCCGTTTCGGTTCCCAAAAAAAAAACTGGTTTGAATCCCCATCTTTGATGGTCAAACTCCGATTCTTGTTGCACCCAGCTCCTCTGGGATAAGTCGAGATCGAGGTCGTCAAGGTCCTGGCCAGCCGAGAGAAACTGGGTGATTTTGGATGAAAACCCGCTGGGATGTGATCATTCAATTTGGGATGGTGTTGAAATCAAGAATTCCGATGTTACCCATGACAGATTTGTGGTTTTCCCTAAAAAAATCATGAGGGTTCCACAATTCAATAAGAGGGCCTACCTACTTCCTTACCTACCTACCTACTTACCTACTACTATACCTAATTAGCCTACTACCTACCACCCACCCACAAACCACCGACCTACGAACCCACCAACCCACCCACCCACTCTCCACTCCAACCCTCCCAGCATGGTTCAGGCATGCTCAGGCCATAACCTCTAGGTCTCTGGCAAGGTGACTGGATTTCCAACACAGCCCCAGGTTTTGTATGGAGTTCTTGAGCTACCGACCGACCCACCCGCCACGAGAAAAAATGCTGTTCTGAAAATTCAAAACTAGCACTTCTAATATTATCTATTTTGTTGATTTAATCGCCCACCATTCATTTGTCACCATTGTTGTTAATTTCGCTAGCTTCATTTAAATATCATTTCAAATGAAATTTGCATGTTGATCGTAATTCATACCAGAAAAAAAGATGCAAGGCAAAAAGATACAGGAACATGTCAGAAATACATGTCACTTATCCAATCAAGTCAGAATACATGCCAGCTAAAATGTCAATGATGGTACTGGGCGGGTGGGTGGATGGGTGGGTCTTGGTGCAGGTGCTGCTGCTGCCGCCGCCGCTGCTGCTGCTGCTGCTGGTGCTGCTGCTGGTTCTGCTGGTGGGGGTGCCGGTGATGGTGAAGGTGAAGGTGACGGTGAAGGTGATGGTGAAGGTGAAGGTGAAGGTGAAGGTGAAGGTGAGGGTGAGGGTGGGGTTCTCCAAGATTGGGCTCCGCTACCTGTTTACTGCCTCTTCAATTCTCACGTTCTTTTTGTTTGTATCCTCGCAAACCGTTAGGGTGTGCTTTTGGGCAAACCCCCTTTGGGTGAACTCCCATTTGTAGTTGGTTGTTGCTGGTTCAACCAGCCTCGAAGATCAGGTGGGAACCTTGAAGCTCCGCGCAATCCAAAGGTCGTCCGTCGGGTCCAAACCTGGGATTTGCGCTGAAGGTTACCAAAAATCCAGAGAGAGAGAGAGAGAGAGATGTTGGAAAAGTAACGCTGCCAATTGGAAAGAAAACATATTCAACCACGTCAAGCTTGAAACCAGGACCAAGACATGAAAGAAACCCTTTTCGCAATGACGTCTGTGCAGCGTTTTTGAGGTCATTCACAGTGCCGCTCAGGGGAAGGGACACATCGGCTGATTGACCGCTTGGCAGAGAATCCTCTGGCCGGGTGGTTCGCAGATCCTGCCACACAGGTAGTGGTGGTGTTTGAAGGATTTGGGTACCCGTGTGCAGAGGGTTCTTTCCGGGCATTTGAACGTCTCGAAATCGAGAGGTGCAGTACCACAATTGGGGTTTTGTGAACGGAAAATTATGACAGATAAGTTTTATGAAAGTATGGCAAGATGAAAGTATGGCAAATTCTCCCTCCCGGTTTTTGATCTGATACAACCTCAATTTTGGGATGTTGCTTGCAGCCAGCGACTGTGAGATTCGATCCGATGACTGACTCCAGGATGTCCACAGGGGCTCTGTTGGTGCTTCTGGCCACACAAAAGAGCCAGCAAATATTTGAAGCCTTCAGACAAGCAGCATCTCTTTAAGCTGTGCTGGCAAAAGGTTTGCAAGACCGGATCTGTCCGTGTTTGGCCTGCGCTTCACTCCGCTGGCGCTTCAGCAGCTGGAGCAGCTGGAACAGCTGGAGCCGTTGGCATGTCCACACCTATCGCGGGCTCTGTGTCTTTCATCACTTCCTCGCTGATCTTGTTGCATGCCACCCCTGTGGACCGAGCGAGTGTTCCCCTTGAACAGCATATAGCGGATCCGGTCTTTGAAGCTCTCTGGCCCATACTGAGCACCTTGCTCTTCGTTTGATGAATGTGACCTGAGCCACCTGGTTTTTTATGCTGTCCACGTCGGACAATTCCATGAGTTTACTATTTCTGGGTGTACGTTTGTCAAAATCCAATCGAAGGCAACCTTTCTGCGAAGCAGTCCTTGAGATCCTTGCCAATCGTTCTGGTCTCCTGCCAGGCCCGGCACGGGCTCCTAAATCACCCCTGATGGCAATGGAGAAACCCCAAAACAGCGAAAAATGAAGCAAAGATGAAGCAAAGTGGGAAAAAATTACTTTACTTCGTGTGATCCCCACCATGACATTTATACATTTTCTTACTGGCAAATCTTCTGGCATTCTATCTGACATATCTTCTGACATTCTATTTGGCATTCTATCTGGCATATCTTCTGGCATATCTATCTGGCATATCTTCTGGCATTCTATCTGGCATTCTATCTGGCAAATCTTCTGGCATTCTATTCTATCTGGCATATCTTCTGGCATTCTATCTGACATATCTTCTGGCATTCTATCTGGCATATCTTCTGGCATATATTCTGATATATCTTCTGGCATTCTATCTGACATATCTTCTGGCATCTGACATATCTTCTGGCATATCTTCTGCATATCTTCTGGCATATCTATCTGGCATATCTTCTGGCATATTTTCTGGCATTCTATCTGGCAAATCTTCTGGCATTCTATCTGGCATTCTATCTGGCATATCTTCTGGCATATTATCTGGCATTCTATCTGGCATATCTTCTGGCATATATTCTGACATTCTGGCATTCTATCTGGCATATCTTCTGGCATTCTATCTGGCAAATCTTCTGGCATTCTATCTTTTAACTTTCTTCTGCACATTCTTTGTCCCATATCTTCCTACATGAGGTCCGGCAGGGAACACTTGGCGTGGATACTCGCGGTTGAGGTCCGGCAGGGAACACTGGGCGTGGATGGTCGTGGTTGAGGTCCGGCAGGGAACACTGGGCGGGGATGGTCGTGTTTGAGGTCCGAGGTCCGGCAGGGAACACTGGGCGTGGATGGTCGTGGTTGAGGTCCGGCAGGGAACACTGGGCGTGGATGGTCGTGGTTGAGGTCCGACAGAGAACACTGTGGATCGCGGGTCGCAGTTGGACGAGGACGACGAGGACGACGAGGACGACAAGGACGACAAGGATGACAAGGAGGACGAGGAGGACGAGGAGGAGAGGAGGAGGAGGAGGAGGACGAGGCAGGAGGCAGGAGGAGGCAACTGACATAAAATCTAACAACCCTCACCTGGCAGGTGGGGAAAAAACTTGCATTTTATCTGGCATATATTCTAACAGTCTATCTGGCATTCTATCTGCCATTCTATCTGCTATTCTATCTGGCATTTTATCTCGACATATATTCTGACATTTTATCTTGCAGATATTCCGGCATTCTATTTGGCATTCAGTCTGGCATCTATTTTCACATTCTACCTGACATATGTTCGGGTCCAGACGTGTTCCACTGCATCCGGAGTTTGCAAAGGGTTCGGGTCCAGGCGTGCTTCACGGCATCTGGAGCTCGCGATATGGTTCGGATCCATTGGTGCCCACAATCACGACGAGCTGGCAAAGGAGTAGACGAGGAGAAGGAGGAGAAGGAGGAGAAGGAGGAAGAGCAGTTGCACCTTTATTAAAATCTTGAGACCCTCACCTGGCAGGTGGAGAAAAACATGGAAACAATCGCTGAAAACCATGGAAACATCCATTAAACGCATGTCAAAATCGATGAACACCATGTAAGAATCAATGAAAATCATGTAAAAATCAATGAAAACCATGGCACGTCCGCGCAACATGGCTAGAAAAACGGGTTGGCTGCCAAGTAGGGTCTGTAAAGGTCGATTTTGGACGTTTTTTGGTGGATGTTTGCTGTGTATTTGGTGTGCGCCAAGGGAACACTTAGTTTAGAGTGTTTGTTTTTGCATATATGTTGCATGGAAAAACTACTTCTTGCAACATCCTGAAAACTGCGTAAATACGAGCGTTTTTGCTAGGTTCTATTCAAGAAACATAGTATATAAATACCGTGGTTTTTGATATCGAGGGCAAAAAACGTCATAAATACCGTGGTTTTTGGTTTGCGAGGCGCCAAAAACATCGGCATGTACGGTGTTTTTTGGTCCCGAAGGCTTTTAAACAATTGCAAAACACTGCCACTATGACGCTTTTCGGGGCCCTGCGCCCATCACAACCATCATCAACAACAGCAACGACCCCATCAACAGCACCAACAGCAGCAGCCGCAGAGCAGCAGCGACAGCAGCAGCAGCAGCAGCAGCAACAGCAACAGCAACAGCAACAACAACAACAACAACAACACCACCACGAACAACAACAACAACAACAAGAACAAGAACAAGAACAAGAACAACAGGAACCACAGGAACCACAGGAACCAAAGGAACCAAAGAAACCACAGGAACCACAGGAACCACAGGAACCACAGGAACCACAAGAACCAGAACCAGAACCCTTGGGGAATCTATAAAACATGGTTTTTGGACAATATGTTCCATTGGGAATCCATGGCGAAATTCTCAGCCATCTTAGGCTTTCAACCAGTGCCTAACCCTAGCAGCTACCCCTGGCGTCGTCCCTTCCAAGAAGGTCACCTTCAGGTTCCTTTCCTTCCGAAGATCTTCCACCTGTGCAAAAATCGTGGGAGCGCAGGGGTGCCAATTTCGGACTTCTGACTGGGTGGTATGGATACATCATACCCGGGTTTGATTCGAAGGCACCACATCCAACCTGCCTTGGCACGCAAGCCTCGAACCACCGCCTCCGCCTGTCTGTCGATGCCCAAAAATTGGAAATCTGGAAAATAGGGAAGACACCATCGAAGTACCATCTTGTTGGGGGGTGCTAATGGTTGCGACGTGTCCCTTAGAATATCAAATCCTCAGATCTGAAACCCTTAGGACTTTTTCTGTACCCTCCAGCAATTTCACCTGGTCCGATGATTATCCCACGTTTTCTCATTCAAGTGGGTCTTTCCAGCCATGTTAGTCACTACCAATCCCCGCCTCTTCAGCTGCAGCCTGTCGCTTTCGAGCCCAGGACCTCGGGGTTTGGGCGCAAAATTGAGACGTCGCCATCTGCAGAAAAAACACAGGCAAAAATGTTGGATCTGTTTCACACATCCAGAACCCTTTTTTTTAATTTCATGTGTCAGTCAGAATTTACTTCCCGGCCCCCTAAGATTATCCCGGCAAGAGACCCCAAACAGTGTTGCAAGGACACTAGGAACACGACGGAGAGATACCAGGTTAGATTATGCAAGTTCCCTTTGTGAATATCTCTGTACAAGATCGTGACCAAGGTCTCCTTGACAGGTCCTCTGTAGAAGCTGCTGTGCAAGATCCCTTTGCAAGGCTATCTTTACAAGGTGTCTAAAAGAGATCTCCACGTACGATCTCTGTAAGAGATCTCTAGGTAAGATCTCTGTCCAAGCTCTCGAGAAGAGATCTCTGAGTCTGCTCTCTTTACAAGGTCTGTGTACAAGATCTTTACAAGGGTCTCTTGGCAAGATCTCTGTACAAGCTCTCTCAAAAAAGCATCTCCCAGCAAGATCTCTGCAAGAGATCTCTGAATAAGATCTCTGTTCACGCTATCTGTGCAAGCTCTCTATATGAGCGCGCGCAAGCAATCGCAAAATGAGCACCCCGCCACAGTAAAACGACGCCTTCGAAAGAGACAAAACTTAGCCGGACACTTTGTGCGAGCTTGCGCAGTTGAAATGCCCCGACATCTCACAAGGGAACTTTTGTGCGAGAATTTACAATGAAAAAGCCGGTGGCCACAGAGCGTACCCTGATCTAACCCCGGCCCTTTAGCTCCTACCGTAAGAACCCCTCAGTATGGACACACTGTTTGGGGAAAAATTGTTCCCTTTCCCTTCAGCTCGGTTAACATCCAACTCTTCCAAGATCCGGTCAGACACGATGCAACTCTGTCTAAGATTCCAGCTTCAGAAGAAAGAGCGTGATATGACAGATATTCGAAACGCCTCTTACATCAGAAATGTCGATATCATACTGCCCCTCGAACATGGACCATGCACACAAGAAGACCAAGCAAAGAATTCGCATTCCCACCGCCCCATCACCGGGCAGGAATGTTCCCAACGCGGCATCCAATGAATCTGCAAATTCACAGGGGTTAACCGAGTAGCACATCTGAAAGCTGCCCCGGCCACCCACCCCAATCACAATGTAGCATATAGGGCGTGTGCATGTGCGGAGGAAGGTTGCCAGCGTAGCATGCAGGTGTGTGGAATTTCAAAAGAACACTGCCATCCCCCCACCCCATCCTCAACATGGCATATTGGCGGTGGTTCAGGTGCAAAGGAAAGTTGCCAACGTAGTATGCAATGCAGGCGCAATTTCACCGGCCGCCCCACGCACCAAGAAGGTACAGCGAATGGCAAACGTGCAGAGGGACAAAAGGACCTATGAAGGAGGTGGGACAACTACACGTTCAGTTTCCAGTCCCTTGGCATAGGTATAAATATTATACGTGTGTATATATATATATATGACATATATATATATATACATATATATATATATATAGATATAGAGATATATAGATATATACATATATATATATGACATATATATATATATGACATATATATATATGACATATATATATATATGACATATATATATATATATATTATATATATACGTATAATACATCTTCCCCAGCAACAAAACTCCCGTGTTTCTGATTTCTAACCATCCAACTACCCATCTTTCAGCCCAGCGGCTGGACTTCCGCCTCTTGCTTCAGAGAGGACACCAACTGCCGGTGCAAATCTTTGAGGCGATCGCTGGCCCGTAGCCCTGCCTGGACCGTGGAGCACGGGATGGGGCGGTTGACGGTGTTGTGAGCAAAATGAAGAAAAGTAGGGGGTGGAGATGATGGGAATATGGTGATTCGATTGTGGTATCAAATGCGTGTGGCTTGAAAATTGTCAATACTAACTCTGGTTCTGGAAATGATGTTTTGAGTCCTGACATGATTGTAACACTAATGTTGTTACGTGAGCCATTGATAATTGTGCTCAGGCATAGGCAACTAGCAGGTGGCTGCAGCCATACCTTCACATCTGGTCCAGCTGGGCCAACAATCCTCAAATTTTCAAGCCACAAAAATCCCATGGAGTTTAGCATCATTGGTCCAGTGGGGTATCCCCATTTTGTGACAAACCCCACTTCAGAAATTCGTGTCCGAAGTCGCAAAAGTCACAACTTAGATGCCCTGCCCCAGAAGAAAAATCATCACTGTATTCTTCGCGCATGTGTGGTCAAAACAAAATATACATGGAACTGTATGATATACACATCTATGATATGTATCTATCCTGATACATACAAATGTAGATATATACATATACATATGCATATACATATACACATACATGTACATGTACATATACATGTACATATACATATACATATACAAATAACACATATACAAATAACACATATACATATACCACATATACACATAATACATATACACATAATACATATACATATAATACATATACATTTAGTAAATATACATATACATATACATTTACATATACATATGATACATATACATATAACACATATACATTTAGTAAATATACATATACATATACATACAATACATATACACATAATACATATACATATAATACATATACATATAATACATATACATATATTACATATACATATAATACATATACATATAATACATATACATATAATACATATGCATATGATACATATACATATGATACATATACATATAATACATATACATATAATACATATACACACATATGTTTTGTCATCATGTCCAGAATTGTCTGGGCAATATGCCCACCATGGTTCTGTCGGCGACTGTCTTCATTGTCTTCTGTTTTTTTCCTTCTTTTCCGGTTTCCTGGCAAAAGAACTTCAAACCAGTTGAGAAAGTCTTTGCTTCCGTGGCTTCAGTTTTGGCTCATCTCTAAACGTTTTGGCCAGCCTTCCTCTTCAACACTGCGTAGTCCGCTACATTCTGTGAGTTTCAGCAGCACTGCCAACTGATGGTGAACACGGAAACAACCCTGAATACGTACATATGATTTAATGTAATATAATATAATATAACATAATATAATATAATATAATACAAAATAATATTATATTACATTACATTATATAATCTTATATTATACTATATTATATTGTATCTTAAATTATAATATAGTAATTTTAGAAAATATATGTGATATAGAATATAATAAAATATAATACAAAAATAATTAAAAATAATGTAATATAATGAAACATAACTTAACATAACATAATATAACATAATATGATAGAATATAAAACCATAATGTACTATAATATAATATAAATATGTTATATATATATATACTAAAATAAATATAATATAAATATAATATGCTCTGCAAAAAGATTTGCGCAAACCTTGGTTGACAACAGCGCAGAAAAATATTGAAGTCACACACATATCTATATACATATGTCCATCACGTTGAAAATACACTATCTATGTATAACAAAAACTAGCCCTAGCCATTGAGGTTCCCCCCTTCCCCCTGCCAGTCTGCCCTTGCACCTGCAACGCGTGGTTTAGTTTCTTGCGCTCATAGAGCGCATCCTCATCGTCCTGCGTTTTGCGTGAAAAACGGGGATGCATGTGTATATATATATATATGTGTATGTGCTTCATAAATATATATATACATATACATATATATATATTTACATATATACATGTATATATATATACACAAACAAATATATATATACATATATATATACATATGTACACATATATATATATACATAAACAAATATATATTTATATAAATACATATTTACATATATATATATATACACAAACAAATATATATATATATATACACACATACAAATTTACACATATACATATTTACATATATACATATATACATATATACACATATACACATATACACATATTTACGTATATACATATATATATATCTATATGTTTATATATACATATATATATACATATATATATACATATAGATGGATACAGTATATACATATATACATATGTATATATATACATATATACATAAATATACATATTTATGGATGCAGTATATACATATATACATATATACATATATACATATATACATATATATATATATGTATACAGTATATACATATATACATATATACATATATATATACATACATACCTACGTACGCACGTACATACATACCATTCCCTAACATAACATAACATAACATTACATTACATTACACAACACTACATTAAATTACGATTACATTACATTACATTACATACATATAAGAATATATATATATATACGTACAGATACGTATACATATACATATACACATACACATACATATATTGTATTGTATGTGTATTAAATTTTCCTTACATATATATATATATATATTATTGTATTATATGGGGGTTGTTCAAGATTATGGTACCCCAAAACTGCCCTTACGCCGCCCTTTCGCGAACCTTTCGCGCCCTTTCGCGCCCCAGCAGAATCGGGACAGGGAATTATGATCACGTTTTCGTGTTCATATTTCCAAATAAAGATTTACAGGAGGATTGTATTAAAAACAAGGAAGTGGAAGCATTCTCCTAAGTTGTTTTACAGATTGCCCTGCCCGACAACGGAAACACAAGTTGAAAAGACTTTGAAGGGTTTTTGCAGTGGCAACATTGCCAGACAAACTAGACCATTTTGGGCCAAGGTGGGATCCTGGCACACTCGCCTTTCGCCAACCTTCCGCGAGCCTTTCGCGGATTTCTCGCCTATAAACATGTTTTTTTTTAAACAACTCATGTTTCATGGGAGGATGGGCGGGTGCTTGTTCAATGGTTGTATGAGTGCAACTGTAACTGACAAGCATGAATACTATATCACATACATCTAGTCTAGTAGGTATATTCAGACTTTTCGCGAACCTTTCGCCGCCCTTGGGCGGTCTTTCGCCACTGCAGCAAAAATTTAAATCCATATCTGCAGATGTTGCTCGGATACTAAAAGTCTTGCATGGGTTTTAGAACCACTCCCAGATATTATGATATATATATGTAAGCCACAGAGAGAGAGAGAGAGAGATAGAGAGAGAGAGAGAGACAGAGTTCGGCGTGGTAGACAAGTTTGTCCCAAACTGTTTCAGTGCCGGTTGATGTTTCAGGATCCAACATGGTTGACGTCAACCAACTTGGAGCATTTTCCCAAACTAGTTGGATCCTCCATGGTTTGATGGATATAACGAGGATTTAACCATCAAACACGGAGGATTTTCCCAGCTATTATCTGCAGAATAATTATCCAAAATCGAGATTTAATATGATCTAATCAGGGAACCATAGGGATCATAGGGGATATAGAATCAACCGGCTATAATTTGATCCCTTCTTTGTTCTCCGAAAGATCCCTATCAAAGGTGTTGCAGAAGGATCTAGATTGCAGAAGGGGTGTGACAAAATGGCTGCATTGGGTTGTAGCTGGCCATCAGTTGGCACCTGTGGGTCTGGAATGGTTACCTTCAAGTTAAAAAGCACTTTGACACGCATTGACCTGGGGAAGATGATGATAGACCCGCGTCCTTCTTTCCAAACGGTTTGGTGGAACCAAATGTGTTGGTATCTAAAGAATGTGCAGAAGGATGTAGAACGTAGAAGGGATGTCAAAGGATGGCTAAGCGGCTAAGTTGGGTTATAGCTGGCCCCCTGTCAGCACCTGTGAGTCTAGAATAGTTGCCTTCAGGTTGAAAACGCATTTTGACACGCATTGACCTGGGGAGGATGAGGATAGACCCGCGTCCTTTTTTCCAAACGGTTTGGTTGAACCAAAGTAATGGTATCTAAAGAATGGAGGTGGTGGGTGGAAACAAGGATGCACGTCACTGCAGGTTGCTCATCATAACTTGACCTGACATTTGTGCTTTCCAAACAAATTTGGCATTGTGTGGGAGGTTGGAGGTAACGGTGAGGCTCATGTTAGTTCGATTCGGGATATTGACGGATATAATTCAATACGTTTATCACTGCACATTGCTGCAGTTGCTCACCAACCTTTTACCTCGTTTTTTAGGGAATTTCAAACCAAGTGACAATGAAATCACCTGGTTTTGAAAATGGAAATCTTGATCGACCAAAACCAGGGATGCTAATTCCAAACATGTGTTGCACCTTTGTGCAGATGCATCATCACGACTTGGTTCCTTTTTCTGCACTCCAAATCAATGACCTTTTCTTGTGGTCTGTTGGAATCAATTTATACCACAACAAGGCTCGTATAACCAAACTTTTTAGAACCCTCAACGGCATCCCCAGGGGGGTGGGGATTCTAGACACCTCAATCTTGAGGGTATCTATAATGAGGATGTTCATGGGGGTGTAGAATCAACGATATGAGAATTTGGGTCCATCCTCAAAAAAATCCCACTTCTAGATGGGGAAAAGGATGCTCCTTTTCCGTTGGAATTTGGGGGTACTCCATTTTTAGACAAAGCCAGAAGTTCACCATTCAGTTGCCCTTGGATAAGTATGAATCAACCCACCAGCCGCAGCTATAGATAGTGGATGATATTGAATCATAACTTAGCTGGGTAGAGTGATGGATCATCAAAATCAATGATTCAAAATTCAACTGAGCAAACTGATTTGTAATTGACTCGAATCGGCGAGCAGTTCATTCAGTGGAATGATTTATGAACCACTGATTCAGTACTAAACTGCTTGGTATCTAAATGTAAAACATCATGTCATGACAGTTCAACGATCATTCGATGCTTAAGCAGAAATGGGTCTGTCTGCAATTGAGATGTACCTTCTAAATGGACATGTCATAGGGAAAATCATCATTAACCAATGGATTTAGAATGATTTGGAGGTACAATATATTTTCAGACCCAAATTGGCCAAAAGTTTTTTTCGTATTATCATCATAGATCATACTCATCATTAACCAATGGATTTCTATAGAGGTACCATATTATCATCATAAACCATCTGTCCTGTCGAGGGGGCCCCGCTGGCAGCTTGTGGGACTGTTGATGATGAGCTTCATCCTCGGTACTGAAAGAAATCGACCCGGGACGTTCCAAAAATGGAGAAAAACAACGCAGAAATCGGTGATGTTTAGTAGTTTGTAAATCATTTTTTGTAGTTTGGAAATCATTTTTTGTAGTTTGTAAATGTTTGTAAATCATCCATTTTCGGTTGCCAGTGATTTTTGACCTATAGCCAGATGCTGACGCAGGGTATGCCACCAATGATATTGTCTAGGACACACCAACATGATAATCATACTTTAGTACACTGCATGGTTAATGTCTCCAAATTTTCTTACCCCGCCATCACCTCCTTGAAGAACACATCTTTTATTGCCATGATTTGATGACAGCTATTTTGTTTAGGCTTCCAGCCCATTTGACCATCCATATTTAGAGGGTCAGTGGTAGCCATGTGAAAATCAGACTAGCTGGTAGTTCGGATGTTCATCATCCAGTACATATGGATAGGTTTTGACCTATTGCGGTGGTGATGATGATGACGACGGCCTTTGCCTTGTCCAAAGCCCTAAATTTGTTGATCCAAAAATCGGCCCAAGTCCAATGGTTTGGCATCATGTATTCCCCCAATCAATGGCAATTTTAGGTGAAATGTCCCATGTCTGGACAAACCCTGGGATGTTAACTGCAAAACAGGCTCCAGGTAGAATTGCGTCTCAGCACCTGAGTTTCTGCTGGCTTGTGTGGGTCAACTAGAAAAGCTTTTGAAACACAAAATAGGAAAACTTGTAGCTTTGGGAACCGGAATTTCGTTGGATGAAATCATCCCTTTTGGGTGAAATCAAGGTCGGCACAGAAGTCTTGCACTTCTGGCGGATCTATATGATGGGTCAAAACCCTGATACCCTCGGTAGCCTAAAATAGCTGGTTAAACTGAACTCCCCATGTTGATTGGATTAGTCCTCCGTGTTTATTGATCATATCAAGTTATTCATATCCCATCCTATCCCTATGATCAATTCTATTTGATATGATACGTCTGATACGTCCATGAAAAATATATGACAGAGTTATTCATGTTTTTTCCATAACAAGTTAGTTATATATCTATTTGATGTCATTTAATATTTCTATTTTTACCATCAAAGCTCCGAATTCCGGCACCAAGGTCGACATCTCGACCAATCTCGGGAGCCCTACATTTCTTTTGCGCTTCTTTCAGCTGGTCCGACAGAACCTTCTTTTCCACCTACGAAAAATGGGCGTTGTGAAAATCGGAAAAGCATGGGAAAATATGAGAGAATCCAATATCAATAGTTCAATGGTTCAAAGCTAGGAGAATTGAATTATAGCTGGCTGATTTTCAATATGTTAGATTACCAGAGCTTGAAATTCTTGAAACGTGGAATATAAACATTGAAAGATTGTTTTCCCATCAACAATCTGGGTTTTTCATTACTAGACGGCAGGATGTCCTGTATCTACAGTTGTGTGCAGTGATGTGTAAAGAGTATCTGTCTTTGCGGACGAGTGGTTTCTCTGAAAGAGTTTCTGCGGGTTGGGGAAAACCAGAGATTGGCCCATAATATTGCGGTAGCCTTGTCTTCATTCTCACACTTTCGAAACCATTCAATCGTTTAGCATTGGAACACATCCATCCCTCCATCCTTCCCGAACGATGTTCCCTATGTTCACATCTTCATTGCATAGCTAAATCCAAAGCTACATCAGCTATATACATCCATATTTTCCTTCATGTTCGGCATCAAAAGACTCTGTTCTTCGCTTCAACTTTCATTGGGAGCAGTTCCATGCGCCGTCTGTGTCGCCTGAATCCCCATGACCTTTATCATCCGCAGTCTAGTTGCTTCAAGTGGAAGAGTACCCTCTGGTAATGACTAACAGTTTGCTATTGAAAATGACCATAGAAATAGTGGATTGTCCCATTGAAAATGGTGATTTTCCATAGTTATGTAAACGTTTACCAGAGGGTAGTTCACACTATTTGGGTACGTCCTAAAACTGGGACACCCCTCTTCACCATTGATGAAACCCCTTGTCAAACACTGCCAATGCCTTGGATTATAACTTTGTCCCCCATCACTGCGGAAACCCCTCAAAACATCCCCATGGGCACTTAAGCCCCTTGAAACCATCCACATTTCAAAATTATAAATACCCCAAAATTATATATTTGTGCTGGTTATATAAATCCTATTTCTTTATGGTTAAACCATGTTAAACCCCATTTTTCATCCCATTTCTGGCGCCATTTTCTGCTTGCCACCTGCATGAGGGGCTCCCGTTCCTGCAACTCCCGGCGCTGAAGCTTGGCATCTTCCGCCTTCGGAGCAGAAAGAAACGGAACGTAAGGGGATCTTTTGGGATTTCTGAATGGTTGAACGGGATGTTATACAGTACATGCATACTAACAAACATACATATGCATATATATATATAACCGTATATGTTATATTACACTAGTCACTATATACATTATATATATATATATGTGTGTGTGTATTGCTATACTATATATGATGTTATATGTATCATATTGTATAAATACATATATATATATACATATATATATACATATATTCGTATATATATATACATATATATATATACATATATATATATATACATATATACGAATATATATATATACATATATATATAGCCCAGTATGGTATATATTATAACAGTTACTGTCATGGTTGTCAGCAGTAGTATTCCAAAATGATGCCTTTTTTGCCACAGCAGCAACCAACCAGGATGGCAGTCGGACGATGTTTTCCCCATGATTTCCAGAGGTCCAAATATTTCGACGACCCAAAGGGGGGCTGCATAATATGAGGCCCCCAAGATAGCTAACTTGGTTTATAACTCCAATAACTATGGTTTATGGTACGCAAATAACATCTTATAACTATAGTTACTGGGGCTTATAAACCAACTTATAACTGGGGGGCCTCACATTGTAGGGATTTCAAGAGGATACAACGGATACAACTATCAACTACTCCAATTTGGGTACCTGAACACGGAGAACTTGTTTTAATCCCCCAGTCCTCGCCATTTTTACAAGGGGAAACTGATGAACCGGTGAATCTTGGTGCCTACTTAGGTAAAAGTTGGTTCACAGACTCCATGAACTGTAGCATAGATATATCTACCATAAACAAGAGTTGTCTTATATAGTTGTCAACCAACTTAGCCAACGAACTGGGGGCACCACCTTGAGTTATATACTGTGCATACAAGCTTGCACTGGGGACACTCACCTGGTTGCACAAAAACTCCGCAGGGGCAAGATGGGTTTGTCTGAAAGTGGGCTACCCCAAACATGTCCTTGAAATAACTGGGAGTTAATCCCTCAAAAATGGGGTAACCAACCCTGCAAATGCGGACTGTATGATATACAGTAACGGGATTTTTTTCAACAATATGATATTTGGGTTTGTTCCCCGAGTTACTTGCTATGTTCATTGGTAAAATAATGTTCTAATCCAATGCAATTTAGGGTACCCCATTTGCAACTCGCCCGCATTTGTATATTTCCCAAAATGTGGCCGGGTGGTACCGTAAATAAATGGGTTTCAATACTGAAACTGTCTCATTTGGCTGCTATTGGATATTTTACATAGATTGTACTGGATGTAACTACTACATTGCGGTAATTTCCACAATTTTTAATAGGGAAATCATCTGCACACGGGTCATGTTCCAGTTCGCAAACTCTACCAGAGCGCAATGCTTCCCCTCATCAACATCTTCCATCATAAAACTGGTGTTCTTCATTGATTTCCCCTGATTTATATTCCTCCCTTTTTCAACGTCCACCAGCACCCGGCCCTTTCTGGCCCAGGGGCCTCCTTTTGAGCCTCTTCTCGTCTCCGGGAGCTATCAGCCAGTGTCTGTGCATGGGGGGATTCAACTGCCAAAACAACTACCATCTGGTTATTTAACATAGCCATGGAAAATCACAATTTTTAATGGGCAAACCATCTATAAATGGGCCATTTTCCATGGCTATGTTAAATAACCAGATGGTAGATCCAGCTGCCTAAACCATTCATGTACAGTAATATCAATGGGGTATTGTTTTGTTTTTGGGGGAATTGATGATTTGGAATTGGATGCAACGATTCTGACTTTGAAGGAAGACATCCATTGTTTGCTCCAGTTGTAGAGGCAACCGTAGCGCTAAAATAAGGATCTTGGTGTTGCACCAGGCGAGATCATGTTGCATGACATTCAAATCGTCCAAAACATGACCCAAAAAGATCCCAAAACGAGGGCCTTGAGCACGTCGTGCCAGGTCTGGTTCAACTCGGTGAGATTCCTGGCTTTCCATTGCTGCAAAATGACTTTAGAGTAGACTTTTTGTTTTGAAACCGAAAAAGGTGTGCGTAAACACAAGACATTTTTGTATATACATATACATATACATATACATATACACATACGTATGCGTGTACATATACATGTACAAGTTACTTACATCTACATATATTATATATCCTATATTCATATATCATATACCATATATCAGATATCAGATAGGTCAGCCATTCATTTGCGACGACATTTTTCAGATCACAGGCGACGACATGACGCTCACACCTTTTGGCAGATCACTTGCGACGAAAGGTCTTGTGAAGCTCTTCAAATTACGTGTCAATTACGTGCATGGAGGTACAGTACATCAACGAGAGAAATACCAATCTTACAATGCCGACGGTTACCTTTTCAGGGTTTAGGGTGTGTGAGGTGGGTGGAAGAGGGTTGAGGGTTAGTTGGGGTTCTAATCCTCTGGCAGACCTCACAATGCCGATGGTTCTACCTTTTAGGGTTTTGGGGTGGGTGGGGTGGGCGGGGTGGGTTTAGGGTGTAATAAAGTTTCTTATCATCTAGCAAACTTGGCAGTGCCATTGATTCATTCAGTCTGTTGCACATGGTTTTCCTGATTTCATTTCATTGGCATCTCAACCACCAGTGCACATTTGTTGAAGCACCTCACAACTTCAACACTTCGGTGCTTGTGCGTATCAAAACTTTCCTTTGTCCATGACATATAACATGTTAGACCTCGCGACCTCCACACTGCCTGCCAAAATGGCCTTACGCAGAAGATACACGACGTCACAAGTGACGAGGAAATCGATGTCACAAGCGAAGCGATTTGCATGTCACAAGCGAAGCTATTTTGCGACGTCACGAGCGAACGCCTCACCTATCATATATATTATATCATATATCATATATATATATCATATATATCATATATATCATATATATCATATATCATATATATATCATATATATATCATATATCATATATATATATATATATCATATATATATATCATATATATATATATCATATATATATATCATATATATATATATATCATATATATATATATATATCATATATATATATATATCATATATATATATATATCACATATATTAATACAGCTATGGGTCAAGTGGCTACACAACCAGACCATCATCACCCTTGTCCCCTCCCGCGATCCTTTGGCGCTGTTCCTCCGTGGCAGCCAGGTCGGCGCGGACCTCCGTGTTGGAGCTCAGCAACGCCGTGGTCTTGGCGACACCAAGATGGCGAAGGGAATTGACCAAGATCTATGGTTAATCTATGGTTAGTGTATGGTTAATGATGATTAATGGGTGATAATGGGTGATTATTAGTTTTATATATGGTTAATGTGTGGTTAATGTATGATTTATTATGGTTAATGATGATTAATGGATGGTGAGTAATAATCTGATTGAGACCACTGCTGCCTTGATGTATTCAATATATTAATGTATTGTTAAACTCCACAACATCAAGATCTATGATGATTAATGGGTGATAATGAGTTTCCATCAATGGACATAAATGGGAGATCCCCAATGGTTGGTTTATTGGGAAATCCTAAAAATAACATGGATGCATTTGGGGTACCCCCATTTTAGGAAACGCCCATATGGTGAGTCCACCCAAAAAATAAGCTTCGGTGGTATCCCCAACAGCCGCAACGTTTTATTTTTACAAATCTTTCTGAAGCGTGTGATGCGAAGCCAAGCGCTGGAAACACCCCAGCTGGGTCTCCGGTTAAATGGCCACAAATCCTGTTGAACCTGACCTGGCTCTGCACCAAAGCGTCCCAGACCTTCTCCGGAACCTTCTCCGGAACCCGACCTGGCTCTGCACCAAAGCCTCCCCAAACCTTCTCCAGAACCTTCTCTGGAACCCTGTTGAACCTGACCTGGCTCTGCACCAAAGCCTCCCAGACCTTTTCCGGAACCTTCTCTGGAACCCTGCTGAACCTGACCTGGCTCTGCACCAAAGCCTCCCAGACCTTCACCGGAACCTTCTCCGGACCTGTTGAACCTGACCTGGCTCAGCACCAAAGCCTCCGGGAACCTTCTTCGGAACCTTCTCCGGAACCCTGTTGAACCTGACCTGGCTCTGCACCAAAGCCTCCCAGACCTTCTCCGGAACCTTCGCCGGAACCTCGTTGAACCTGACCCCGGCCCCTGCACCAGTGCACACCGGAGCTATTCTGGGCTGAAGACCGCATTAGCTTGCGCTGTTGGGGATATAGAACAAGAAGAAAATCCGTCCACGTGGGAATGGGATATGATGATATTTAATTTCGTCCAACCATCTGCATCCAAGTTGTGGATCTTGAATTTGTGCTTGGTTTAGGCATGCTTGGGCAGTCCACATGTTTAATTAGGAGATACGCCTTTTAGAAATGAAGAATTTCGTGCTGGATGATGGGATCCATTTTGCCGGCAGAAGATGCAGCTTGACCTTTTGGCACAGAAAAATCATCCACCAAAATATGGGAAAAAAACAGATAAAGCTACCCTCTGGTAAACTAACATAACTATGGAAAATCACCATTTTCAATGGGAAAATCCACTATAAATCACCATTTTCAATAGCTACGTTAAATTACCAGAGGGTAAGTTTTGCTAGGTTGACTTGTCTAGATGGCAACAGATCAGGCAATCCAAGGTGATTTGGAATGTTCCGCTGCACAACTCGAAAGGCAAATTTCTTGGGCTCAGCATCTGCTTAGCTGGGTTCCCCCCCAAAAAAAATGGTTGGTAATAAAACTTATTCCTGATCATTGCCATTGAAGGATGGCAAAACACCCATATTTAATGTCTTCACATGTCTTCCATGCCCAAATGGATAATTGTATAGCAATTCTCCAGTACCCCATATTTTGAGTTATCTCCCCGTTTCATCCACAGACCTCACCTCAGTTCACTGGTTTTTGTCGGGTTCCCTGACCTGGTCGAAATGCAATGCCCGCAGTTCGTTGCTGAATTGCTTGCACTGAGGACACTCACCTGCACCAAAACTCCGGGGAAGAAAAGTGTGCCACACCGGAGATTTGGCGGTCTACCCTCCAGTCATCATACATGGCTGGCTGGAGATCTCCGAAAAAAATGTTGGTTTTGATGGAAAAGTCATCTAGAAATGGTGGACTTTCCGTTGCCATGTTTGATTGCCGTCTATGTATTCCATATGTCAGATCCCGATCTTTGCCTGCAATTGCTAGTTTTCATAGAAGAAAGTTGAGAAGAATGGATAGAAGCCCAGTGCAACACTTCATCCTTGCAATCCCATTCTTTGGCCTTCATCTCTATTCTTGTAGGGGCCCAGAATATATTCTCTACTCTTAATTTAGGGCCAAACTCTTTCCAGGCGCAGTTTTAGCTTGCAAAAGCCATAGTAATGACGCTGCTTCCATGCCTGAAAAAGCGGTACCTCAAAAATCCCATGGTTGCGCCTCTCGATTGGTTCATCCAACTGGCAATGCATTTCCTGCCGGCGAATCGGTCTTGGAAAACCAGGAGTCGTATGACGTTGCACTGGTCCCTAAGAATCTAAATGATGTTTGAAGCTAACTGGTTTCAATGGAAGATACACAATGGGACCCCCAAGTGATTTTGTAGATGGAAAAGGGAACCCATTTACAGAAGGTAGGGACAATCGTTTCGAACTTGGGGCTACTATACAAACATATCTACAAAGCATATACAGTGTATATGTATATATATATATATACATATGGAGGTGTCCTAAAATGGGGTGTCTCCCCAAATCATCATCCATGTTATTTTCGGAGTTTCCATGAAATAAACCCACCATTGGGGATCTCCCATGAAAGTCTGGAGGCCTGGTGACCAACAACGTTCGCATCCCATGAATCGTGGCGTCCCCAGATATAACTGGGGTGTATAGCCTATATATGACTGGGGGTATACCCTAGAAATGTATACATATATAATATAATATATATATATATAATTATATATACATGTAGTTACATATATTATGTTCCTAATCCATATATATATATATCGTTTGATTTACTGAGATGCACATCCTGGGCATCCTGGGCGCCTGTGGTACACATGGCCACATTGCAACACAGAGACAGGCTGTTCCAGTATGCCATCATGACCTCAGGGACTTCTGTCGGTGATCAAAGGGGAAACTGGGACAGCCGATTTCAATGGGGAGTGGGATTTAAGAGTGATTCAATGGGGATTTAAGCAACGAAAATGGCGAGTGGTCATCTGTGTCATCTGTGTCAGCCATGGTCGTTCTGAACAGTTCGATGGTCCATGACCGTTTATGAAAATGTTGTGACATAAAACACTTCGCAAACTGTAAAAGATTGCCAGGCTGGGTCGTTTCAGGGCTACCACATCCCCATATTTCGCGGACCAGCCATCACCTGGGAAGTATCGATTTTCCTGGTGATGTTCGAGCAAAACATCTGTGAATTTCTCGCCTTTTCCCACTTCCGAATTCCAGGCCAATCAGTTTTCATGAGTTTTCGAGGCGGGATCAACCATCAATTTTGACAGGGGAGGTTCAAATGGTCCATGTGAACTACCCCTTGGGGATTTCATGGTGTAGTTTCTATTCATTTGAAGTATATCCTCTAGTAGCCCCAAAAAAAGATTGAAAAACAATGGATCACTATGTTAGTGGGATGTTGTCTTCTATCTTTTCGGGGCTTACCCTAAAGATATTCCAGATATTCCCAAGTGCGGGTCAAACTCAAAAGTGCACACTGCCAAACATGTTGAGGAAAAGATTTGGGCTCTTCTTGCCATCGCCTCATCAGGCATTGCCATGCTGTCAGATGCCGTAAGACCCTGTCATACCAGTCATATGGACATGTCGGAGAGGTGTCAGACATATCTATATAGACACAAGACAGAAAAGGTGCTTGCACACGCATTATATATAAAAACAAACTCTGAAGCCATGGGTGCCAAAATGAGGGATATCTCATGACATACAGTATGCTCCAATAGCCAACATAAATATATATATATAATTAGATATATGTATATATATATATATATTAATTATTATATATACATATATATTATATCTTTATATTTTATTATATATATATACGTATATATAATATATGAATACAATATGCTGTCAGCTGGAGATTACATAGATTGCTAATAGATCACATAGGTTGCATCCCGCATTTTGGTGCAAGGTGCAAATGAGGCAAATCTCCTCTTCGCCCATGGCCTCCCAGTGCAAGAAAAATTGTTTGCCTGTTCAACTGAAATGATAGAATATGATTCAGAGATATTCAGAGAAAGCTTCGTTTTTTTCAACTTTGGGGACATCTATAGGGGCCCCCGAATAGATGGCACAAACAGTACAAGCACTAAGATGGCATCAATGATATTTCAACCTCATATGTTGGTTCAGTGTGTGCCATCTATCGGGTCACGACAAAATGCAAAAAATATTCTATTTGTAGCTATTTGCAAAAGCCATCTTAAGGGCGCTAAACAAAATAATATACATATATATATATACATACATCTATATATACATATGACATGTAACATGTAACATGACTTATGAACAAGTTCAAGCATGCAAATATATATATATATATAGATTATGATCCCCGGAATATGGTGTGCCATCTTTGCAACCTAGAAATCTCTATACTTGTTAAACAGGTCAAGTATACAAGTATCCCGTGGGGTATGCCATCTGTAAACCCCTAAATCCTGTATACCCCATTTTTGCTGCTTTTTGAGCTTAGATGGCATTTTTGATGGTTTTTTGCAGATGCCAACTATTCGGGGGCCCCTATAATCATGCTTGCGGTCTGCCATTATGGTCCAGGGGAAATCCACTGGTTGGGGACAGTATAGATGGTTGCTGTCCATCTCACAACACCATGTTTGTCCATGTTTGAGTGTTTGGACTCCGCAACATCTGTCACAAACCAACCTCTACCAACGCCGAATGACGTAGCCAGGGGCCCTGGGCCCGAAAATCAGTGGCTGACGCCTTGGCTCTTGTTGCATTGGAAATGTTACCAAGTTCCTCGTATTTTTGGGATTGAACCCAATGGTTAGATGAGGATATACCTGACCCGCTGAAATATGGTTGGCATGTCTTGTGGATGTTTGCACCGTGTGACTTCTGAGCTGGAAAAGACTGGAGCCGCACAGCCACAGGTGAGCATGTCTGGTCCAATATAGCCACACCTTCCTGCCGTAGTTGCTTGAATCAAAAGGCTGGATAACCTGAAAAAAGAAGGCGAGGGCGGTCTTCCAATCTAAGAAATCACCAATGTCATTGGACCGTGTGCAAAAATGAGCACATAGCAGTACTAAGAAGGCCATCTGGGACAACTGCCCGCTGAAATACTTCCTGTTTCTGCCACCCTCTGAAACGGGAACTGAAAGCCCCAAATCCAACCATTACTACTCTCTCGTAATCAGTTCCATAGCTGAAAAGTTCCCCAGCTCTAGTCCGATGGCTTTCCCAGCGAACTAAACCTCCACATTTCTAGGGGATTTATTGGTTGCCCATGATTTTTCATGGAAATGTCCCATGATCGGCCGCAAGCGCTTCCGTTTGTTCCTCATCGCTTCAGCAGTTCGCTGGATAACCTCTGGGCGCAGGCGGCATCCGGCCGCTCAAAGGCCTGGCCATATATGAACTAACCCATGGTAGGGAAAGCTACGGTGGATGGTTGCGAAATCCTGCACCAGCTGATAGGTGGTAAACATCCCATTATTTATAGGGTTTCAACCATCCAAGGTGGTGCAGGATTTCCATCCACTGTATCAACTAGTATTTCATGAGGATCTTTGGCCCCAGCGTTTCATGGGCAGTTGAAGATACCGTCTCCACCCTACCAGGCTTTACCATTTTGCAGATCGTGCCCCTGGTTCACCAATAATGCCACTTGCAGTATCTAGAAAGGGTCCCTGATGCACCGGTGGTGTTGTTCTGACAGGCGAAGTTTTATGTAAGTCCAAAACATTCCAAAACAGCACGACTGCGAGGTCCAGGTTGTTTTTGTTTCTGTCGCTATAGATATCTGCATTCATGTGGCATGTTTGTCAAAGAATCACCATAAATCTCCACGATCTCTGGGATATCTCAGATTCAAGTGACTCTTGGACCGTGTTTCAAAATCACGGCTGCCAAGTCTTGATCCGGCCAAGGCTAGCCATGATGGGGCCTTCACATTTAAAAAATGGGTTGGTAAACAGGGATCAAAAGAATTTGGTGATACAGTAGCTCGTTTTTGGCATCAGCATCAAGAGAAAACTTTGATAGGTTCATATCTTGATGTCTGTGGTTTGATGTCCCCGCATGTTGTCTCAAAATTTGGAATCCCATTCTATCCCGTGGTTCAGAAAATTGTATTTATTCAAATGTCCCAATATTTACACTCCAGTAAATTAACCCAGCTTTGCAACCCAACAGCATACCTGAATCTTCCACCTACGTCTTTTTTCAGACCCTGTGCCAAAGTCTGTTTTTTTCAGTACCCAGAAAACTTTTCAGGACCTACTCTCAAATTCAGGATCTGGCCATTTTGGGGTATCAATGGTAATGGCAATCATTGGGTGCAAACATGTGAAACCAACATTTGGTGGATATTCAAGCCATTGGCATTGATCCACGCAAATAAAAGCACTCCTAGCCCAAACTCATGGCAAGGCAGGATCAGAATATAGTATATTCCAGAAAGTATGTCAGAATAGATGCCAGATAGGATGCCAGAAAGAATGTCAAATAGAATCTCAGAAAAGAATGTAAGATAGTATGTCAGAACATATATGCCACATATACGTCCAGATGATATGTCAGAAACTATGTCAGAATAGTGTGTCAGGGTGGGGCTCACTCTTAGTAAGGCAATTTTGAAAATATATTTCAGGTTCGGAATTTTCAAACTGTTGTCCTTCAGGCGCCGAAGCTCCCGTTGAAGGTCAGCATCGCCCCATGTCAACTGGTCCAGGCCAAACGCCTGCGGGCGATATTGTAGGCCTGCGGGCCCAACGCCTGCGGGCGATCGGCCTGCGGGCCAGTAATAATGCCTGCGGGCAAAAGGTCTGCGGACCAATGGCCTGAGGGCCAATGCATGTGCCGGCGATGACAAGGGGGTCCTTCAAATCCACATTCTAACTTCAGTCTGAAACACACATTAATTGTCAGTGTGATGCCAATGCTCGTCGGTGTGTGCTATTTTTCTTATCGCAGGTATTACACCTTCCAAGCCATGCCCGAGCCGAAGCAGAAAGAAAGAAGCCGAGAGAGGAGCCGAGGCAGAACCCGAACTCGCCGCCGGAGCTCGTCTAGCAGCGAGTCTGTCGTGGACGAAAAGGAAGAGACAGAGAGCCGCCCTCCACCACCGGACCCGCGGGTCGATGGCCAAGGCCGTTCCAAGTCGAAGTCTCCCGCGCGCAAACGCTCTGAGGAGCCGCTGCAGGAACTTTCTACAACATCGGACCACTTCCATTTCAACAAGTCCAACTTCATCGATTAGGGTGTTGGTTGAATGGACTTGGGACTCTAGCTGGCACGGCATCCCTTGTAACCCTGTAGACACTGTAGTGGGCAAAAAGATTGTAACACACAGAATCAGCATCATTTTGATCAGGCATTCTTTTTGCTAATCCTTTCTCCCTATTACGAAAAATACCCCCAAATGACAAAAACTAGGTGCGATTTCCAATTTTGGGAAATGTCAAATTGGTTAATCTGATTTTTAATTGATCCCCTTGAGGAAACAATTTTAAAAATGAAGGTACCATGTGAGGGTTTCACCCCCAAAGAATAAAAAACTAGTCAACACCGGGGTGTCTTTTATTGGGGTCCGTCCTTTAAAATCGTCAATTTTAGTTTTTTAATTCAGGTGTTGGTGTTTTATTTGATACTAGGCGAAAGCTTCGAAATCCTATTCTTGGCAGTATTCTATTTAAAGATTATTTTCATGGATTTTGAAATTAGAAACAAAAAACGGTTTAATCCCTTCCCCCTGTTGCTAAACAGTCGCCCCTTCACCCACCCACCCACCCACCCAAATAACAAACACCTGGAGGAGTTTTTAGTATTGGGGGGGTCTTTAGTATTAGGGTACGAAGCTTCCCCCTAATACTGATTTAAAAAAAAAAAACACACATATATATATATATATACACATATTTCTATTTCAAAATCGATCAGATTTCTTTCTTTTTAAATCCAATTAAAATATGGCAAACAAGTGGATTCCGAAGCTTAATATCAAATAAAAACCCCCAACATAAAAAACTATGTATGTTTTCTATTTCGAAATCGATTAGATTTCGTTTTAAAAATTAAATAAAATATGGCCAAAAAATTGGATGTCGAAGCTTTCCCCTTATATTAAACCCTAATATCATTTTGTTTTTTTCCTGTTTCAAAATCGATTAGATTTCCTTTTGAAATCTTATGAAAAAAAACAAGAAATTGATTTTGAAGCTTTCCCCTAATATCAAATTAAAATCCAATTATTAAAATATGTTCAAAAATTGGCTTTCGATGCTTCCCCTAATCTTGCATGAAAAAATCCAATATAAAAAACTAAATTTGTTCTATTTCAGAATCGATTAGATTTCCTTGTAAATTCAAATTAAGATATTGCCAGAAATTGGATTTCGAAGCTTTCCCCTCATATTAAACCCTCATATCAAAGACTATTTTTTCTAGATCAAAATTCATTAGATTTCCTTTTGAAATCTAATTAGAACATGGTCAAAAATTGGATTTTGAAATTTTCCCCTAATATTACATTAAAAAAACCTAATATAAAATATTATTTTTTCTTTTTCGAAATCGATTCGATTTCCTTTTAAATTGTAGTAACAAAAATAAAAACAAAAACCGGATTTCGAAATGTTTCCTCTAATATTAAATTACCAGCCCTAATATATTTAAAAAAAAAAACTGTTTCAAAATCGATTAGTTTTCTGTTTAACATATAATTAAGATATTGCTAAAAATTGGATTTCGAAGTTTTCCCCTAAGATTAATTAAAAACACTAATAAAAAAAACTATGTTTTTTCGATTTCAAGAATCGATTAGATTTCCTTTTGACATCCAGCAAAAATATTGCCAGGAAATGCCAAAAAGTGGATTTCGAAGTTTTCCCCCAATATTATATAAACGTTGTAATATAAAATACTTATTTTTTCGACCTTAAAAGACCCTAGTTTAAAAAATCACCGGGGCTGACTAGTTTTTATTTTTTGGTGGTGAAATCCTGAAATGGGACCTTCATGTTTAATTTGTTTTTGAAAAGGTATCAATTAAAAGTCAAACTGGCCAGCCTGAAATTTCCCAAAATTTAACGCGGACCCTAGTAAAAGGAATCAATGTAATATTTTAGTATTTAGGGTACGTTTAGTAAAAGGAGGTGGGGATTAGTAAGGTTTTCAATTTAATATAAGGGGAAGCTTCGAAATCCAATTTGGCAAGATTTGAGTTAGATTTTGAATAGGAATTCAATCGGTTTTGAAATATAAAGTTCATTTTTTAAAACGAATGTTTTCAATTTAATGTCAGGGGGAAGCTTCGGAATCCAATTTTGGCAATATTTTAGTTAGATGTTATTTAAAAATGTTTTCCAATTTAGTTTTTTTAACCAAGGGGGAAGTTTCGCACCCTCATACTAAATACCCACTAAATACAAAAAACTATTCCGTGTGTTCATTATTGGGTGGGGAGGGGCAGACGGTTTATTATGACGCAGGGATTGGTCAGGCATCACTTGCTGGAATTATTGGATTCTTTTGGGATGATTGGTATGATGTTTAGTCAGGCATGGTTCCCTTCAGTCATGCACGATTTTTGCAAAAATCCTATTTAGGCACGACCCCAAAATCCCAGCCCGGCAAATTCCGGCCCGGGCCCGGCAAATTCCGGCCCGCGCCCTGCAAATTCCGGCCCTGCGTTTTTCCAAAATCAGGCAAAACCAGTAAATCAGGTATTAAGTCAGGTGTAGTTACCTTTTAAGTCATTAAGGCTAGTCAGGCATGGTTCCAGTGGGTACCTTTTAATTGTGAAGGCTAGTCAGGCATGGTTCCCTGAATTCAGGGGCATGGGTACCTTTTAATTATGAAGGCTAGTCAGGCATGGGTTCTGTTAAGTCAGGCGTGGGTGGGTACCTCTTAATTATGAAGGCTAGTCAGGCATGGTTCCCTTAAGTCGGGTGTGGTTACGCTTTAAGTCATGAAGGCTAGTCAGGCATGGGTACCTTTTAAGTGATGAAATCTGAATCAGGCGGAGCTCCTATTCTAAATGTGTTAAATCCAATTGTTCAGTGTGGAAAATCGATTTTTTGGCTGGTCTACGGGCAAACCCTGTGTCTTCCAATACCATAGCGTGCTGATGTCGCTTGCCTGCATAATAGTTAAGGCCAAAGCTTAGGTCATCAGTGTGATCCTGAAATGGCGCCACGACCAAGAAGATGACATGTGTAAAATGGGCCCTGGATTAACAAAGGCTGACTAATGAATTTGGAGGATGCCACTAAAGTATGACATGTAATCACTTTTGAGGAGCACTCTATGGCACGCAGCGCGCGCAGCCTGCTTTACGGTTTAGCGTTTGAAAGTTTTAGGCTTTGCCTCTATGGCACGCAGCGTTTGAAAGTTTAACCGTTTACCTCTATGGCAGGCTGTGCGCGCAGTACGCGTTACGGTTTAAAGTTTGAAAGTTTTAGGGTTTATGTGTGTGGCACGCAGTGCGCGCAGCGCGCATTAGGGTTTAGGGTTTGGAAGTTTTATAGTTTATTTTATTGCATGCAGCGTGCACAGCGTGGGTTGAACTTTAGGGTTTCGAAGTTTTAGGGTTAACCTCCATGACACGATGGTTTAGGGTTTGGAGATTTTAAGGGGTACTTCTATGGCACACAGCGCGCGCAGCGCGCGTTAGGGTTTAGGGTTTAGGGTTTGGAAATTTTAGGGTTTACCTCTATGACACGAGAGTTTCAGGTTTGAAGATTTTAGGGTTTATTTCTATTGCACAAAGCGCGCGCAGCGCGCATTAGTGTTTAGGGTTTGAAGGTTTTAGGGTTTATCTCTGGCACGCAGCGCGCACAGCACGCATTAGGGTTTAGGGTTTGGAAGTTTTAGGGTTTATTTTATTGCATGCAGCGCGCACACCGCGGGTTAAACTTTAGGGTTTGGAAGTTGCATAACGGGTTTGGAAATTTTGGGGTTTACTTCTCTGGGACACAGCGCGCGCACCGCGCATTAGGGTTTAGGGTTTGGAAGTTTTTAGGGTTTACTTTATTGCATGCAGCGCGCGCAGCGCGCATAGAGTTTAGGGTCTGGAAGTTTTAGGGTTTCAAGGGTTCCAAGGTTCCAGGGTACCAGGGTCCCACGGTTTCAGGGTTCCAAGGGGGTTCCAAGGGTTCCAAGGAATCCAGGGTTTCAGGGTTCCAGGATCCCAGCAGGGTGCCAGGTGTGCAGGGTTGCAGAGTTCCAAGGTTCCAGGGTTCCAAGGTAGCAGGGTTCCAAAATCCTTGAGGGTTCCTGGGTGCCAAGGTTCCAAGGTTTCAGGGTTCCACGG